TGTAGCGGTAGAATTTTCTGAAAAAATCAATCATTTCTACGCCGATTTCGTTCTATGTGTTAATCATAACATATGAATACAATATACGATTGCAAAAGTCTAGATTATTATTTTATATATTATTGTCCAAACGGTGATTTGAACCCCTGCTGTTTTCTAATACTGATAATAGAATTTAAAATAGGTGTTGCATTATGTAGTAAAGTACTCAATGTAGGCAACTCTTGTAGGCTTAAGAATGAACCTTACTACACCCTGGTGTAGCAGACGAATTTGTTGACATGACAGATTTGACAGCAGAAGAGAAAACAAAGCTGGTTCTGGATGATTTTGACTAATGCAAAAAAGTTAGCTGATAGACATGACATTCTTCTGTCTACAGTATACAGAACTTTGAAGAATATTCAGTCAGAAGTTGGGATTGAGCACAAGACAAGGGCGGGGAGGCCGGCGACTTGGTCAGATTGTGAGTAAGGGGAAACTGAAAAGCGTTGAGAATATCAGAAATGAGATGATTAATGGAGGAAGTCCTCAAATGTGTAATAAAACCCTTAGACAAGAATTACAAAGACAAAACTGGATGAAAAAGCGTGGAATTCCCTCCCCATTGATGAAAGGTGCAGAAAAAGAAATACGATTAAACTAGTGTACTTGCAGTAGGGCTCACTAAAATCAAGATTGGGATAATGTTGTCTTTTCTGAGGAAGGGCTGTCTGGCTTTTTCCGAACTGTGTGAAAATTTCGACAAAAGATACCGTGAAACCTATCTACCAACGCCCAAAATATAGCCCGAAATTTCACATCTGGGGTGGGATATCATCACGTGGAATGACGCTGTTGTGTATTTTCACTGGAAATGTGACGAAGGAACGATATGGTGACATCTTAAATAATCACATCCTTCCAACGGCCCGAACACCGTATGAAGATATTTACCGAGACAACTTTCTCAATAATTTCTGGTAATACTATATATGTACCGAAATATCACTTTGCAGTGTTACAAAATGCCACATGTAACGATAACTGGTCCGTTAAATTGAAGCCATTTTCCCCCTCCATTCCCAACATAGCCTCAATCAAACGTGTTTAGTCTCTGATCGGTCCGAGCAGTCAAAAACAACCTAAACCTCACACATGTATCTTGAATTGTGTTTAAATCCATAGTTTAGTATCACATCTACCTAAATATCATTGTGTAGTGTTTCAAAGCGTAGTATTTGAAGCAAACAATGTTAGTTTGGATGCCGACGAGAAAATCAATTTTCTCAAATTCTGAACATACGATGCGAATACATGCATCAATACACCAATTTTATATGACCCCATATGTCACGTAAACATGTTTATATCATTGCATTTGTGTCGAGAATAATGAGCTGTTAAAACTCTCAATCAGCTCGTCGAAAAGAACTGCCTAACTCAAAATAAATTAAGGACATCCTTTCAATATCATTAAAAACCGAAGAAATATTTGGCACCTTCAAACTGTCGCTTGCCAAGACTGAACAAAGGAAAGGCAGTGTCGTCACAAAGAAGAAATACTTATCGGCGATTTATCGATTGGTTTATTTACTGATGCTATAATTATGTGAAGCTGGTACATGTATGAAACGTAAATGTCGTGATGGCACTGTAAATTCCCAGCGTTTGATTTGGTGAATAGAGCAAAATAATGGTCTGTATTAAATGAGAAGGGCATGTCTCCTATAATGTGGAACTGTGTCCGATCCATTTATGACTGTGTCAAATCTTGTGTTAAATCAAATAATATGTTTTCCGAAATGTTCCAGTGTAATATCGGAGTGCGTCAAGGGTGTGTTTTAGGCCCCTTTCTATTTTCTATATTTATATATGTTTTGGCTGGTGAAATTGAGTCTTCTTGTTATCCTGGGTCCTGTTTCACAAAGCTCTCGTAAGCCTAAGATCTCGTAACTTTTCTCGTAGTATTCGTACTTCCTATACTGTAGCTTTGACTTACTATAGTCGTAGCGCTACGAGAGCTTTGTGAAACGGGGCCCTGGTATACAGATGCATCCAGTGAGTGAGTGAGTGAGTTTAGTTTTACGCCGCACTCAGCAATATTCCAGCTATATGGCGGCGGTCTGTAAATAATCGAGTCTGGACCAGACAATCCAGTGATCAACAGCATGAGCATCGATCTGCGTAATTGGGAACCGATGACATGTGTCAACCAAGTCAGCGAAACTGACCACCCGATCCCGTTAGTCGCCTCTTACGACAAGATAGTCGCCTTTTAATGGCAAGCGCATGGGTTGCTGAAGACCTATTCTACCCCGGATCTTCACGGGTCAGATGCATCCAGAACTAACACAAGTATTTCTACTGCTGTAAGACGCAGTACTCCTCTCCCATACTATCTATGGCCTACAAAAGCCTATTAATTTTTTGGAAAAGTATTGTATTGAGTATGATTTTTCCGTTAATTTAGATAAATCCAAACTTGTTGTCTTTAGAAAGGGAGGTAAGCTTTCTAAATATGAAAAGTGGTTTTTGAGTGGTATGAGAATAGATTGTGTCCCATGGTATAAATATTTGGGTGTTCTTTTTTCTCTCAAAGTGTGTCGTGGTATAAACATTTTGATAATTCCATTCTACAATCTAAAAAGGCCCTCTATAGTATTATTTCGCGGTGACATCGTTTCAGGATATTTGATTCAAAAGTGTTGCCAATTCTACTCTACAGGGCTGAAGTCTGGGGGTTGGATTGTGATATTAGTTCACCAATCGAGAAATTTCAAACTTTGGCTTGTAAATATTTACTTAGTGTTAAAATATCTACCCCTAATCACATCATTCTGGGTGAGTGTGGCAGATATCCTGTCTATGTGTATGCTTACAAACGTTGTATTAAATATTGGTATAAATTGTTGAATATGCCAGTATCTCGTCTGCCCAGAAAGTGTTATAACTTATTATTGTTAGATGCTAGCCATGGTAAAACAAATTGGGTATCAAAACCTAAGTTATTACTTTACAATATGGGATTTGGATATGTATGGGAAAGACAGTACATTAGAAGCTTAAGTTCCTTCCTGTCTGAATTTATTATCAGGGCTCAACATATAAGGGTTATATGTTTAAGTCAAAAGGGACATATATCAAATTCAAATAAGAACATACAAACTAATACATATTTTATATGTTTTATTATATTTGTATCACTATGTAGTAATAATAGTAATAATATATAGTGTGATCATCATACATTCAGGTGTTTCATACATCTTTAATGTTCACTACGGGCGGTGGGGTAGCCTAATGGTTAAAGCGTTGGCTCGTCACGCCGAAGACCCGGGTTCAAATCCCTACATGGGCACAATGTGTGAAGCCCATTTCTGGTGTCCCCCGCCGTGATGTTGCTGGAATATTGCTAAAAGCGGCGTAAAACCAAACTCAGTCAGTCAGTCAGTAATGTTCACTACAGACATCATCACTCGACTGTAAAGTCTCCAATTGTAAAATTACCTGACTGAGATTCGGGCTCAGAGCAGACATGGCAGAGAAAGTGAAATTCCTTCCCGCTCTCGCAAAGACGGAGGTATTCCTCTCTGGTCATGACAGACAGACAGACAAAATAGTTTATTTATGTGTCAGGTGAATGTACATGTCAAAAATGGCAACGCTAAAATGACATAGAAAAATACAGACACCAGATGGCCAATGAGACACACTAGACAATATGTGCATAAAATGTATAAAATATAAGATTAAAACATTAAGAAGTATCACACATATGAAAGACTTAAGGAAAAAGTTTGTGTCACAGCTACGATGGGTCTATCTCTCACAACGGTCACACTCCGGGACATGTTGGTTCTTCCTAACTGTCTTGTCACAATTAAGCGACACACTTTATGTTCGTCTTATATACCATTCTGACTCAAGAGACCAATCACAATTAATTAAAACGTCAATCTCGGCTAGATTACTGACCAGTGTAATTGTCACCAGTGTTAAAACGTCTTGTAATCATTAAATAAACAGTTGCATGGTTGACTATACTTATAAAATAAACACTTAACCACTCTGGGATGAAAATACACAATGCCATTTTAGTGGTCAAATGTAACAAATGTTATATTTGGGATTACACTTTCTTAGTAAAGAACTGAAGATTCTAGTACTTTTGGGGGGTTGAGTCCCATTCGGGATTGTTTTTATTCATAGCTTTCGGGGGGGTTGGTTGATGATGAATTTTATGGAGAAGCATGAACAATTTGAATGACCCCCCCTCCCCCCTAAAATTTATGTACAAAGTAAGTGACACCCCTGCATGTCATGTACGATATCAATAAAAAAAAAAACACCAATATTTTTAAGCATATTTTTACATGTCTATGTACAAAATTGAAGACCCCCACCTCCCCAGAACAAAATGGGTGACCCCTTAAATTCATCATCACCCCCACCCCCACCCCACCCCAGCCATAAATTATGAACGGTCCCTTAATTAGAACTACTAGCTGCAACAACATGTAATGAATTTCTTCTGATCTTACTATTTTCTAAATGTTTGGCCGTTTTGTCTTAAATCTATGGCCTTTTAAATTATTTTTTCCCCTTTTGATCTGTTCCCCGTGTTGACTGCAACATTGGTGAAAGCAAATACCATAAAATTTGAATTGGCAGAACAGAGAACATATATTTATTATATGGTCTCCGGGCAGACTTAGTCCAGCATATAACTAGACGACTTTGCACTATACCAACGTGTGCTCGACGTCGATGTAGGCCATGGCTGGAATACGAGTTTATTCATATGAACTACGGGCAGACTTAGTTGGCAAACACGTTTTGTAATAACTTGCTAGAATGCCATGAGCAAACATCAATTGAAAACTACAATCTAAAAATGTCTATGACCCTATCTAGAAATTTGTGAATCGACGTTAGTAACAGTAAAGATAACTTTGGTCCTCATTCGCGAACGCCACTGTTGATTCACGTGACTGATCACATGATCCGTATGTTTGTAGATGGCGCTCATGTCCAATGGTGGCACTGTGCGATCTGAATATCTGTGCTAAACGGACTCAACAGTCGTTTCTGGGCAGCATAATAAGCAATTGTGACAATATTGGTTCGTTGATTTGATTAATTTTAAAACTAACTGTTGTTTTATGTGAAAAATAATTGTGTTTCGGTCTCAACATTTCGTGAAAGTTACATTTTCTTACGTGCGAAAAATTAAATCTGGCGCCATTTTGCTTGCTCCGACGATATGACCCATTGTTGTAAAGATCACACGATGTGAGAAACCCACGTGGTCTGACAAGTAGCAGTTATTCCACTAATTCGTTGTGTGAGTGTAATATTTTTCAAGACGTCCCCTAAGAAGATTCTTACCAAATAGCATCACAAATATAAAGGTATATATACCATTTACTATTTAGACTAAAAATATGTTTATGAGACAAATGATATAGGATTGTTCAACACCTGCGTTATACACTCACGATAAATGTGTCATTAAGGAGCAATGTAGTCAGACTTGTACAGATCAGAAAGGAGTTTGTTCTGAGCCAGATTTTGTAGAGAGTCAAACGACTGTTAGAACCATATGGCACCGTTTGTCTGCCCATGGATTTCAGTCTCTTAAAGAACCGGTTTATTTGCGAATTACTTGTAAACACTTTAACACCTTTCTTCAGTTGAAATAATAGGTTACATCATAAAAAATTCGTAAACTTGCATGAAGCAACATAGACACTGCTATTTTAAGGTTTATTTTTAGCTGAAACTTGCATTGGAACCTGCTTGACAAGCTTTTTTTCTGTGAACATAGATTAACTTTTAAGGGGTATTGTGTAGCTATCCACTGAGGCAAGGTTCTCACTGTCGCTCATTCTCAGAGACCAAAAAATGCTTGTAGAATTAGACAGTGGGAATGAATGTTCTATAATGTCAAATTTCATTATTGGTTCTCACAAGATCTTCAGATATAGGCTTGGTATCTGTTTCAGGCTGAATATTTTTTGTGTATCGTATTAATCATGTATCGTGCATGATGTCATTATTGATTACTGTGAGGCAGATGGCAGTGTCGATGTTGCTTGTTCCACAAATTGAATGCCAGTGAAAGTTCTGTCATGATAAATTTTTATTAATACCAGTCATTCAAAGAGTGACTGTGTTGACCATTTCCATGACTTGCAATCGGTGCCAAACCAGAAACAACACACCCAAATTTTGTCTGTCCAAACTGGGGCATGGTCTCTGCAGAAGACCCGTGAAGATCCGGGGTAGAATAGGTCTTCAGCAACCCATGCTTGCCCCAAAAGACGACTGTGCTTGTCGTAAAAGGCGACTAACGGGATCGGGTGGTCAGGCTCGCTGACTTGGTTGACACATGTCATTGGTTCCCAGTTGCGCTGATCGATGCTCATGCTGTTGATCACTGGATTGTCTGGTCCAGACTCGATTATTTACAGACCGTCGCCATATAGCTGGAATATTGCTGAGTGCGGCATAAAACTAAACTCACTCACTCACTCTCTGCAGAAATAGGGGATTATAATGGAATCATAGCATTAATTAATTATGTTTATGGAAACACTTTTACAATAACTGCAGGATCGTTATTCATCACAGAATTCAAGTTTATAGATGTAGGAGATTAGTTGTGCTATAATCTGGGTGGTGCATTAATCATCTACAGCTACAAACCTGTTTCAAGTATTTTCTATGACATGGGTTTGTTATGTTTGGGGTTGAATTTTTTTTGTTTTGGCAGGGGGAATATTAGCTCCTCAAAATATGAAATGGTTCATGCCGAACAAAGGTAGATTTTATTATGATGGCCCTTTGGTCATTTGTTGGAACCAGTACAATTTTACTAGTCTGACTTGCTTGGGGATAATGATAAAATGTCAGTGTCCTTTGTTTTTACTACATAAAACATGCAATTGAATATGATTAAATATTTTTATCAATGAAATATCATAAAATTCAGTTAATTATACTCAGCTCAGCTCCAGTCCGTTTGGCTCAAAAGCAGACCAATGAATTGCTATCTAACTCAAAAAACTAATGAATGTATAATACTCAATGAAACGCTGATCATAATCAAAACATCAGACCAACTCTGTGAGTTTTTGGCAGAAGTTATGTCTTAAAATAAAGAAGTTGTTTATCAAACTCTCATTAAAATATTGACACAGTTCACTATTTCGTACGGGAGAGGAGTGCAAAGAGAGGAACAGCCAGGTGTACGAGAAGCACGAGCGCAAGTGCTGACAAAGTTATAAATTCATTAACCTTTGCCAGTCTAAATAAACTTAGAATTATTCGTTATGTACACTGCTATACTGAGAATAACAAATCCTGGTAGAAGGTCGCGTCAGCTAACCTTTGAGCGACCTATGACCGTCCAATCAAACGCAAGACGGCCGACCGGATTTAACCAATCAGACAACGGCTACTTGTTAGAGTTCGGCGGGAGTTAAAAACAGTTTAGGGACTTAAAAAGCGGTTTTTGTATTTTCTGCAAATCCGCATAAAACACAGATATTTGACCTGCAGTATATAGGCTTATGGGCTTCTAATGACATGGTTACAATTTGGTTATATTTTCACAAGATACCATCCTTGAATATTGACAAAAACGCTATTTTCAGCGACTGTTTACTCATTGCGTGTATTACTAGGAGCAATCGTGCAGAAAATAGCATTCGGAGTCGCTCGAGTTTTTTTTGGTAAAGGTTCAAACGGTATGTGGTAATGTTAACTTTTGTGATTTATTAAGCTGTGTTCTGATTGGTCAGTCAAAAGGTTAGATGACGCGACCTTCTACTAGGTTTTGTTAGACTCAGTATAGTTTCCACCCTTTCTAGCACACATGGCTGTTCCTCTCTATGGACTCCACCCTCGTAACAAATAGTGAACTGTGTCAATATTTTAATGATAGTTTGTTAAACAACTTTTTTATTTTTAGGAAATAAATTCTGCCACAGCACAGGTTGATGAATCAATAACTTTGTCCGGTTCTCAATATTGTAGAGTACTGAATGGCTTTTCTAACAGTCTTGCTATCCCTTTCTCTGCACTCCTCCTTGTAACAAATAGTGAACTGTGTCAATATTTTAATGATAGTTTGTTAGACAACTTTTTTAATTTTAGGACATAAATTCTGCAAACAAATCACAGAGTTGGTCTGATGTTTTGATTATGATCAGCGTTTCATTGAGTATTATATGTTTATTAGTTTTCGAGTTAGATAGCAATTCATCAGTCCACTTTTGAGCCAAACGCACTATAGTCTGTTGCCTGAAACTCACAAAATTTCAATCATTATGCTTACATCAGCTAATATGGTCTGTACGATAACACATTAGTCTGTTGAAAATGATGCTACAGGCCAAGTTGAAGATTGTAGGCTCAAAAGGTTTTTGCCAAAGATTGTTTTAAAATTTTGTTGAAAGGAATATTTTATTTTTGACAGTGTAATCCTGGCTAGATACTTGGGACAAGCCATGAAGTATATTTTGGTGACCGGTGGTGTCATTAGCGGAGTTGGGAAGGGTGTACTAGCTAGCAGCGTTGGTACCATTCTCAAGTCCACTGGTGTGAGAGTCACCTCCATCAAGATCGACCCCTACATTAACATTGATGCTGGCACCTTCTCTCCTTACGAGCATGGTGGGTCACACATTCAAGATACAGAGTAGCTTAACCAAGGACTGGCTATCGATATAGATCATAGAGAGCGATCATCGTTAAATGAATATCGATCGATTATTGATAAATTTCGGGAAAGTAGCTTTGAGCCAAAATGACTAAGGTAGGAAAGACATTTCCCATCAGTGATGAGTGCTGACACATTAAGGCTTGGATTACGAGCAAAACACTTTGTGTATTTTCTGAGTAAATTTAAAAATCATTTCATTACAATATTTCATTTACGATATAGATTACACAATTTTCAAATCGATAATCATTAGTAATGATTCCCGTTGATGATATCTATCTTTTTGCCCACCCCTAGTTTATTTAAACTTTGAAGCTGTCAAGTTCATCAAGATGTGTGTAGTACCACTGATTGTTTTCTTCCAGGTGTTAACAATTATTGAAATTTCAAAACTCTCATGATTTGTTTACAAGACGGGTTCAAAACATTTTTAAAAAGTCACTTGCCACAGGGCAAGAAAGTAACTTGTCCTGACTAATTTTCCACTTGCCCTGATTTTATGAAATAATCATGATGATGTAATTATGAAAGAATAAATCCACATGGTATTTGATATTAATGTTTACGGGACTATTTATTGAAAAGTGATAAATAGAAAAGAAAGATAACTCGACTTTATTATCATTGCGAAATTTAACAGCTACACTTTGAGCAGATATGAAATTAAATCCAACTTTATTTGCAGTTTGAAACCATAAGTGGAAATTATCTAGTAGCCCGAGGACTAGTAAGATTCCATTAGTTGATGGCCCGAAATTTGAACTGATTTGTCCCGGGCGGCGTCAGGCGATGGGATTTTTGAACCCCTTCATGATAATATGTTATTGTTATTAACCAGGTGTATCACTAAGTCAGCAGTAATAGATATAATGTTTAGCCTACTAGATTGTCAATGATAACATTTTCTAACACCCTTAGAAATGACAAGTGTCTACTAGTCCTTTTGATACTTGAACTGTTCCAATTTCTGTGGATGCTATTATGGCTAGTATATATTATTCATGAAAGAAATTTGGTTACTCTTGTTGAAGCAAATGTCAAAAAAGACATAACTATGAATCACCGATGAATATAATGCTCTGTTGTTGCAGGTGAAGTGTTTGTACTTAATGATGGTGGAGAAGTTGACCTTGACCTTGGCAACTATGAGAGATTCCTGGATGTGACATTGCATCGGGACAACAACATCACAACAGGGAAGATCTACCAGCACGTGATCAACAAGGAGAGAAGAGGAGGCGACTATCTAGGAAAAACTGTACAAGGTTTGTGCGTCTAGCTTTCAAATATCTGTAACCTGTGTGTCTGTAAATTTTAAGTTTTATTGCATTTTTGAAGATCTGTTTGTTAATGTTATGCATGTGGGATAAATGTAGACACCCTCAGGGGGCAGGGGTGGTGGGGTAGCCTCGTGGTTAAAGCGTTGTCTTGCCATACCTAAGACCCGGATTCGATTCCCCACATGGGTACATTGTGTGAAACCCATTTCTGGTGTCCCCTGCCGTGATATTGCTGGAATAGTGCTAAAAACAGCATAAAACCAAAACTCACTCACTCACTCGGTAGCCATTAAACATTCAAAAAGAAATTGCCTTTAACACTTAATGCTGAGTTTCTTGCCATCCTTACTCCTTTATGAGTTGATGAACCTCCTTTATGAGTTGATGAACCTGTGAAGATCCGGGTTGGAATTGGTCTTCTGTAACCCATGCTTGTCGTAAAAGACAACTAGCAGGATCGGTGGTCAGACTTTCTGACTTGGTTGATGCATGTCATCATGTCCCTGTTGCATTGGTTGATACCAATGATGTCATCACTGGATTGTCTGTTCCAGACTCACTTATTTTCATATAGCTGGAATATTGCAGAGTGCGGTGTTATACATCATATAAAACAAAAACTTGATGGATGCACCATCCTCACTGAAGTTTTCTTTTTTTCTCTGTAGTTGTGCCACATATTACTGATGCTATCCAGGAATGGGTGGAGAGGGTAGCAAAGGTCCCAGTTGATGGGGACAAAAAAAGCCTGATGTTTGCATAATTGAGGTGAGTGCATGTTGACAGTGGAGTTATCTCCCTTGAATTAGGCAGTGTCTGCCCCTGTTCAGTTGTTTACAATGAAGATAATATGCTAATCAACTAATGGAAAAAAACCTCTTCCAAAAAATGGAAAATATGTGTTCGTTTTTATCTGAGGGAAAGTTGTTTTAATGTTATCATAATCTTTGATGGTATTACAGCTTGGTGGAACTATTGGCGACATCGAAGGTATGCCATTTGTGGAAGCTTTCCGACAGTTCCAGTTTCGAGTTGGGAGGGAGAACTTTTGCTGTGTCCACGTCAGCTTAGTTCCTCAGGTAATTCTGACAAGATGGGAGTGAGTGTGTACGGTTTGTTTGCTGCTTGCAGCAATACTCCAGCAATATCAGGCATGACAGTTGCCTGACAGGGTACAAATGTAAGTGCTGTAAGCGAGCACTGAGGGTATATCTGTGAGGAGTCCAGGACTGAATATGTCCCCGTAATCCACGTTTGTTCTTCATTTGTGATCTATTTGATTGTGTGTAGTACTAATTTGTTAGTTTGTTTACCCTTTTTGTGTGTTGGATTAGGCCTCTGGCATTCTATCCGACTGAATATGGTGTCCTGTGTGAGGCTGCTGATTGTGTCATTCACACATGCCTGATGTCTAATTTTTTTTATTAACAAACCCAGTGATAAATATCCTTTTCCTTAAGTAAATCTGTCCTGACATGTTTTAAATAATCAGGGGCGGTGGGGTAGCCTAGTGGTTAAAGCGTTGGCTCGTCACCGAAGACCCGGGTTCGAATGCCCACATGGGTACAATGTGTGAAGCCCATTTCTGGTGTCCCCCGCCAGGAAGTTGCTGGAATATTGCTAAAAGCAGCGTAAAACCAAAACTCAGTCAGTTTAAATGATCAGAAGTTAAACCTGGGGATTCTGAGTTTGAATAGAATGATTTCAATCTCAGTTAAAACAACACGAACTTTCAAGACTACAATCATTAGTATCCAGCTCATTTTGAAATGACGTTCACTGGGTATGAGATAAAAAGTGTTGTTGTTGGCACACTTAAATTCCCAAGGCCACACCTAAACAGGTATATGTGCAAGTGACCTGTCAGACATGAATTTAGCTGCATTGCTATCCAAGGTCGATGCTTCTGCTTAAAAATACACATTATTTTGTAGCCACGGACAACAGGGGAACAGAAGACAAAACCCACGCAGGCCAGTGTAAGAGAGCTACGTGGCTTGGGACTCTCGCCAGATCTGGTGAGTAGCACCCAGTTGTTTCCACTGAATCTACAATATGTGTACTGACAATGTAATTTCTTTGTGATGCTGCAGAAAGTGTTTTTGGAAGGGCGTCTTCTAAATTTGTGTTTTAACTGACCATATTCTCTTGTTAAACCTTTGTATGCATGTTTAACGGCAAGAGTTGCTTTTAGGAAGTAAATGACAAAAACAGTCATGGTTTCTCTATGTTTATTTGTGTTGTCATCTTTTAGAATATTGTACCATAAACTGTTTGACCACAAATAGTAATAGGACAACATTTAACGTGTTAGTAATGATTGTCAATGAACATACTTCTTTATGCTGTTTTTTCTCAAATTCAGAGACTTAAGAGAAACTGATATGTCAGGGTCCTGAGGCCGATCAATTTTCTTTATAGACAATTATTATTATTTTGTGTGGTATTCAATGAGATCCTTTTCTTTCCATCAGATTGTTTGTAGAAGTGCCAACCCCCTTGCTAATGAGTCGAGGGAGAAGGTGTCACTCTTCTGCCATGTGGCTCCAGCACAGGTAGGTGGACCGCTCACAACACAGCATCCAGTGTCACCAGGACAGTATAGTGTTTGGTTGTTATATCACAAGTAGTATAGCTTACTGCGTGCGTGCGTGTTGGGGGGGATTCAGGGGGTTTGAACCCACCCCCGCCACCCTGTTTTGGGGTGTGTATGTGGGTGAATGGCTACTGACCACATTGAAGTTAATGTTTTGCATTAATGGCGTTTCAGGGGGTTCGGTGGCAACATCACCATCTACTATTGTTATACACCTAGTGATCCTTGGTGGTGATAACATCAGTATCTGCTATTGTTGTACACCTAGTGATCCTTGGTGGTGATAACATCAGTATCTGCTATTGTTATACACTTAGTGATCCTTGGTGGTAACATCACTATCTGCTATTATACACCTTGTGATCCTTGGTGATTACATCAGTATCTGCTATTATCATACACCTAGTGATCCTTGACAGTAACATCAGTATCTGCTATTGTCATACACCTAGTGATCCTTGGTGATTACATCGGTATCTACTATTGTTATACACCTAGTGATCCTTGGTGATTACATCAGTATCTGCTATTGTTATACACCTAGTGATCCTTGGTGATAACATCAGTATCTACTATTGTTATACACCTAGTGATCCTTGGTGATAACATCAGTATCTGCTATTGTTATACACCTAGTGATCCTTGGTGGTAACATCAGTATCTGCTATTATCATACACCTAGTGATCCTTGGTGGTAACATCAGTATCTGCTATTGTCATACACCTAGTGATCCTTGGTGGTAACATCAGTATCTGCTATTATCATACACCTAGTGATCCTTGGTGGTGATAACATCAGTATCTACTATTGTTATACACTTAGTGATCCTTGGTGGTAACATCAGTATCTGCTATTGTTATACACCTAGTGATCCTTGGTGGTGACATCAGTATATGCTATTATCATACACCTAGTGATCCTTGGTGATAACATCAGTATCTACTATTGTCATACACCTAGTGATCCTTGGTGGTTACATCAGTATCTGCTATTGTCATACACCTAGTGATCCTTGGTGGTAACATCAGTATCTGCTATTATCATACACCTAGTGATCCTTGACAGTAACATCAGTATCTGCTATTGTCATACACCTAGTGATCCTTGGTGGTAACATCAGTATCTGCTATTGTCATACACCTAGTGATCCTTGGTGGTAACATCAGTATCTGCTATTGTCATACATGTAGTGATCCTTGGTGGTGATAACATCAGTATCTACTATTGTCATACACCTAGTGATCTTTGGTGGTAACATCAGTATCTGCTATTATCATACACCTAGTGATCCTTGGTGGTAACATCAGTATCTGCTATTATCATACACCTAGTGATCCTTGACAGTAACATCAGTATCTGCTATTGTCATACACCTAGTGATCCTTGGTGGTAACATCAGTATCTACTATTATCATACACCTAGTGATACTTGGTGGTAACATCAGTATCTGCTATTATCATACACCTAGTGATCCTTGGTGGTAACATCAGTATCTGCTATTGTCATACACCTAGTGATCCTTGGTGGTAACATCAGTATCTGCTATTGTCATACATGTAGTGATCCTTGGTGGTGATAACATCAGTATCTACTATTGTTATACGCTTAGTGATCCTTGGTGGTAACATCAGTATCTGCTATTGTTATACACCTAGTGATCCTTGGTGGTGACATCAGTATATGCTATTATCATACACCTAGTGATCCTTGGTGATAACATCAGTATCTACTATTGTCATACACCTAGTGATCCTTGGTGGTTACATCAGTATCTGCTATTATCATACACCTAGTGATACTTGGTGGTAACATCAGTATCTGCTATTATCATACACCTAGTGATCCTTGACAGTAACATCAGTATCTGCTATTGTCATACACCTAGTGATCTTTGGTGGTTACATCAGTATCTACTATTATCATACACCTAGTGATACTTGGTGGTAACATCAGTATCTGCTATTGTCATACACCTAGTGATCCTTGGTGGTAACATCAGTATCTACTATTGTCATACATGTAGTGATCCTTGGTGGTAACATCAGTATCTGCTATTATCATACACCTAGTGATCCTTGGTAGTAACATCAGTATCTGCTATTATCATACATCTAGTGATCTTTGACGGTAACTTCAGTATCTACTATTGTCATACACCTAGTGATCCTTGGTGGTAACTTCAGTATCTGCTATTGTCATACACCTAATGATCCTTGGTGGTGATAACATCAGTATCTGCTATTGTCATACACCTAGTGATCCTTGGTGGTAACATCAGTATCTACTATTGTCATACACCTAGTGATCCTTGGTGGTAACATCAGTATCTGCTATTATCATACACCTAGTGATCCTTGGTGGTAACATCAGTATCTACTATTATCATACACCTAGTGATCCTTGATGGTAACTTCAGTATCTGCTATTATCATACACCTAGTGATCCTTGGTGGTAACATCAGTATCTGCTATTATCATACACCTAGTGATCCTTGGTGGTAACATCAGTATCTACTATTGTCATACACCTAGTGATCCTTGGTGGTAACATCAGTATCTGCTATTATCATACACCTAGTGATCCTTGACGGTAACTTCAGTATCTGCTTTTGTCATACACCTAGTGATCCTTGGTGGTGATAACATCAGTATCTGCTATTGTCATACGTCTAGTGATCTTCGGTGGCAACATCAGTATCTGCTATTATTATACTATCGTGGGTACCTTTCATTTTGCAGTTGTGTTTCGACTCTAGACTTTCATCTTGCTTGACGTAGAAGGCAACTTACAGGATCGGATGGTTAAGCTCGCTGACTTGGTGGGCACATGTCATCGTATCCCAATTGTGTAGTTCAATGGTCATACTGTTGATCACTGGATTGTCTGGTCCAGACTCTATTTGTACAGGCTGCCACCATATAGCTGGAAAATTTGCTGAGTGCGGCATGAAACTTCACTCATTCACTCACTCACTCACTCTCACTCACTCACTCACTCACTCACTCACTCACTCACTCACTGTTTCCTGTTGCAGGTGATATGTATACACGATGTGTCGTCCATCTACCGTGTCCCTCTCCTGCTGGAGAAGCAGGGTGTGCCTGACTTCTTCGTCAACCGGCTCCATCTTCCAGTCCCCCCAGTTCAACCCCAACGCCTGCTGTTGCGCTGGAAGGAGCTGGCGGACAGGTACGACAGGCTGCTGAAGGAAGTTACAATAGTGTTGGTGGGGAAGTACACCAAGCTGGAAGATTCCTATGCTTCTGTCGTCAAGGCTCTCAAACATGCTGCTCTTGCTGCTAGTCACCGACTGGATCTCAAGGTTCGTAACATGCTAGTACTATTTCAGTAGTTGAAATGCCATGTGTTAGTATAACAGTGCTGCAGCCAGACTGCATAATTGCGAGATTCCTCCTAATTGTACTTACCTTATTTATAAATGTGTGTGCCAACAATGGCGTAAATTTATTATTTATTACGCATTTTTATGCCACCACCATATATGGCTGGGGGCATATAGCGTTACCCTCCGTGTCCGTCCGTACGAATTAGGGAATGTACTCTATCCACTTCTCCACAAAAAATGCTCTGTGGAATTCAATAAACTTATACATGGGCTTTCTTGACTCTAATGGTGTGCATCTCATATTTTGTTTTTGTATTTTATTGTTTTTTTTGTAAGTTTAGATACATTTGAACTTAGGTACATTTTGCTGAATTTCTCTATGATGATAGTGTAATAGGGGATGAAGTCTATCCACTTCTCCACAAAAACTGCTCAGCAGAATTGAATGAACTTCTACATGTCTTTCGTAGGGACTCTAAAGGTGTGCATTTCATAATTGTTATGCAATTTCTTAATTTTGTCACTTTTACAGATGTTTGAACTTAGTTGAATTTTGTTCTATTCAGCCTGTTCGTTCCATCCAACAGAGGGGTGTACGTTATCCACTTCTCCTCAAAAACTACTTTATGGAATTCATTTAGATTACACATGTGCTTTATAGGGACTCTAAAGGCTCGCATCTCGTATTTTGATTTTGTAGTTTATTTATTTCTCCAATTTTAATGCCGTTTGAATTTACATACATTTTGTTGAATTTCTCTCTGAATATAGTGTTATAGGGGATGAAGTCTATCCACTTCTCCACAAAAGCTGCTCAACAGAATTGATTGAGCTTCTACGTGTTTCATTGGAACTCTAAAGGTGTGCATCTCGTACCTTGTTCATCCAATTTCTTAATTTTGTCACTTCTACAGATGTTTGAACTTAGTTGAATTTGGTTCTATTCATCCTGTTCGTCCCATACAACAGGGGGTGTACTTTATCCACTTCTCAAAAACCACTGCACAAAACTTACATATGTCTTTTATAGAGACTCTAAAGGTGTGCATCCCATATTTTGTTTTTGTATTTTATAGTTTTTTGTATGTTTAGATACATTTGAACTTTTGTTGAATTTCTTTCCGATGATGGTGAAATTGGGGATTAAGTCTATCCACTTCTCCACAAAAACTGCTCAACAGAATTGATTAAGCTTATACATGTGTTTCATTGGGACTCGAGAAAGGTGTGCATCTCATAGTTGCATAGAAGATATGTTGATCAATCTTTGTTTTATGACTAAAAACTCTCAGTTGCTCAGTTTTTAACAAACAAGCCCATCTCAACTCCATGGAAATAATTATGGACTTAAACAGATAAACAGTGTGAGGTATGCAATAATATCATGTCATGGAACAGTTAACTTTTAACCTGCCATATTGAATATGTTCCAGAATATGCCAAAACTTACCACTTTAGCTTCTACAGCAATCTATTGCTTTCACTTGCCTCCACAGTGATATTGCTATTGCTAGTTTATTTACCCTTGTACCATTAACCTTCATGATATAGGTTAATTGTACTGTGGTAAGTTCATTGTGACATACATTTACAAATAAGTATTTACCTTGAACACTTTGGATATATTTATTTTATAATCAACCATGATATTTATTTAGTAGAAATTAATCACCAGAGCACACTCAGTGTAGGGAATTCTTCCTACAGCAGTGAGGGCATCAGTGTCCCTGGACACAATTTTTTCTTGTTATATATTGGGCACATGCTTAATTTGAAAATACGACTATATCCATTGAAACTGATGTCGAACAATCGGAAATCAAAATCAAAATATTGAAACTTCCGGAATTCCAAGCGAGGCTTCCTAAGTTCTGCGCATTGCTAGTACGTCTGTTTGCATACGAAACTGTAATATGAATCGTTATAAGGAGCTTGTTTTGCTGTACGGAGCTCGACTTGATGTACAGAGTTTATCATCAAATCTTTCTGGCAGTAAAAATGTCAAAGAGAAAGACTACAGATTTTTTCACTTTTGGTTATTGGCCCACATTTTCTCAAGTTAGGGGGCAACTGTCCCCTTTCAAGGAAATCCTGCAGCAGGGGTAGTGCCGTAAGTTCGACCTTTGGGTGGAGGTAACTATCCTTTGATGTTTGATGTTGTGAAAACAGTGTTGTTTTAAGGGATTAAGACACTGGTTTTCTACAAAATGTAAAATGTGTTCACTCAGGCAACGAAATATGACATGTGTACCAGCAGGTTGACATCTGTACCAGCGGTTGTAGTGAGTGAGTTTAGTTCACTCAGTTCATTAGTAGTGAGTTATTTAATTTCTTACATAAACTTGCTTGCTTTAAGAATGTTGGAACTGGCAGTTTTCATCATCATTTCCACAACTTCAGTTAAGCCAAATGCACAATAGGTTTCTTCTTCTCGTGGTGGAAGATAATATGTGTAAATGGTTATATGTTCATTGTGAACAAGAAGAAAAGGGGAGAATGGATCTCATGGAGATGCATTCAGAAAGACTACAGATCAGTCTCAACAGTGAACGACATAATTTCCAAAAATACCTGGAGATCACAACCACAGACCTGTACACTACGAAGTCAAGGTGAATCTTTTCGACTGTACCAAAAATACTGACGGTCCCCGCACAAACAACAACCTCGAGGGTTGGCATGGCCGTCTCAAGAAGGTTGTGGGAAAACAACATCCCAACCTTTTCAAAATGGCCAAGTTCTTGGCAGATGAACAAGGACTGAGCAGGGCAAAGATGCTTAATGCTTAGTGCTTTTTTTTTTGACATTTTACAGCATGATTCCTAGTCTATTTATTTTCCTGTGAACATTTTAGCTTTACCCGTACTGTTGTGAAAACATTGATTGCTCATTGTCTAAAACCAGTCGACCTTAAAGATACCCCCCTGCAAACCAACCAGTTTTTTCTTACACCCATCCAAAGGTCGGACTTCCGGGACCTAACCCTGCAGCACTGGTATAACAATGGCATGGTTAGATGTGAAATGATTTTGTTTACAGATGTTTTCCATGGTTAAGGACAAATTTAGAAATACTTTAAAGCAAAAATGGTTACATTATTAAAGGGCCACTGATCCAGAGCAATTTCCGTGGACTGATTGTTGCTTTTGTTATTGTTTTTCTCCCGTGAGTACCCGGATGATATCCCAGATTTCTTGACTGGTTCATTACCTCTGCTGCGCTACCCGCATGCGCAATTGATAGTATAAGTATAGATTGATCAACAAAGAGGACATCTTTTTTACTCGATAATATTTCCATCTTCATTAATTTGATAACAAATGAAAACGTTTTGAAGTTTAACTATCTGCCAGTGGTGAAAAATGTTAGGACTGAAAAATATCGAAGTCAATATACGTCTATATGTTTTGTCTTATAATCCAAATTAGTTTACATTTTGAAACTTAATAAAATGTACACGATCTGCTTATACTTATTATCCCCGGCCACTCGTTTAGCGCAAAGCGGGGGATATAGTATTAGGCTCCGTCTGTCCGTCCGTATGTACGAATTGGAATATCTTAAGAGCCGTTGACTGGATTCTTTTTATATTTGGTACCTAGGTTCATCACAGTAAAAGGAAGGTGCCAGTCAGGTTTGGTGACCTTGACCTTCATTTCAAGATCACAAGGGGACTTTAACGTTTACCTGCACGTGCAGTTAAGCTATCTCAAGAACCATCCACTGGATTTTCTTCTTCATATTCAGAACCAAGCTTTATCTAGGGAAGGCGCAGGGCCCAGTCGATTTTGGTGACCTTTACTTAATTTTCAAGGTCATGGCGACACTTTGAAGATTTCAGCATGTTAACCCGCATGTTAAGCTATCTCAAGAACTGTTTCCTGGATTTTCTTCTTCATATTCAACACCAAGCTTTATCTAGGGAAGGTGCAGGGGCCAGTTGATTTTAGTGACCTTCACTTAATTCTCAAGGTCAAGGCGACGCTTCGAAGATTGCAGCATGTTAAGCTTGTCAGCGAGATGAACAGTTCACTGGATTTCTTCATAGATTTTCAAGACTTGCCTTGAATGTTTTGCAATAAGCAATTTCTTTATTACTATTTTTGCATATTTCATACACTAAGACATTCATGTCAAGGTCAAAGTGAGTCTTAAAAATATTTGTGTGTTTGAATAACTATAGAGCAAGATATCAAGAGAGGTCGACTTAAATGTTAATATGGTCTCTTGCAGTATATAGAAGCAGCTCACCTAGAGCCGTCCATGCAGCATGAAAATGCACAGTGCTATCACCAGGCATGGAGAGAGCTGGTTGGTGCCAAGTGAGTAACTCAACACTGCTTTTTGTCTTTTGTTCAAATCTTGTGCAAATTAGATGTTAGCCCTGAAGATTCGGGTTAGAATTGGTCTTCAGTAACCCATGCTTGTCGTAAGAGGCGACTTACGGGATCACGTGGTCAGGCTCACTGACTTACTGACACATGTCATCGTATCCCAATTGCGTGGATTGATGCTCATGCTGATGATCACTGGATTGTCTGGTCCAGACTCGATTATTTACAGACCGCCGCCATATAGCTGGAATATTGCTGAGTGAGGTGTTAACAACAACAAACAAGCAATAAGAATGTAAGATGCATTACTGTTCCATGTCAGTGTGTGTACTGGGTGCAGTTTTATCTTTTGACAACACTACATTTACATACTTTCTTTGTAACAGGTCTCTGATCAGGCTTTTGACCATCTACAATGATATGATACAAGTTATGATTACACAATGCCATTTAAAAAGTAGTCAAATGTAACATATGTTATATTTGGGATTACACTTTCTTAGTAAAGTACAAATTCTAGTACTTTTTTTAGCTGAGCCCCATCCAGGATTCGAACTCATACCCTCAGAGTCAGGCACCTAATTGCCAGCACACAAAGTCAGCCGCCTAACCCTGCTCAGCTACCACGACTTCCTGGATGGAGCTCAACTAAAAAAAGTGCTAGAATTTGTACTTTACTAAGAAAGTGTAATCCCAAATATAACGTATGTTACATATGATATAAATTCTTTGAAAATAAGTGAAACATGCAACGTGTGGTTAGTTTGTAACCCCCCCACATAGTCCCTTGACAAGCACAGTGTAAATCCCTTCATGAAACCTTTTTGTTTCAGCGGTATCATCGTTCCTGGTGGTTTTGGTAGTCGAGGCACTCTAGGAATGATCAAGGCTGCCAACTGGGCCAGGACAAAGAAGGTCCCATACCTGGGTAAGAGTTGCTGGTGTCAGTCATGTAATGATCTTCAATCAGTATATGGTAGTTTGATGCCCAGGTCTTGTAAAATTTCCAGAGCCCCACTGCTTGCTCATCTAACGATAGATCATATGAAATGTACAAAAGATCGGTCCGTTCTTCCTTGCATGAGGTAAGGTAAGTATTTAAATATCTAAAATATTTAGATTTTAATAAATTTGCGTGCCTGCCTGACCATGGACAATGGATGTGTCTGGGGCTACAGTCATGCATGATCTCAATGTTTCTGGGGCTACAGTGTGCTGTCATGTGTTGTAGCTCTTCATGCATTATCTCAATGTTTCTACAGGGGTGTGTCTGGGACTGCAGTGTGCTGTCATAGAGTTTGCCAGGAACGTGATAGGTTGGGAGGATGCTCACTCTACAGAGTTTGATTCTAAAACATCCAATCCTGTGGTAAGTATAACATATGTCCATGTTTATTTCAAACATTTGAAAAAGGCCCTAGATGCCAGTGATGTGCTCTGAAAAGACCCTTAAATTAGCAACACTTGTCAAGTTATGATTTTAGAGAAAAACTAATTCATAAAGAATACCATGCTATGACAGTGTGTGTTAGGGTAATTAATCCCCATCGCAAAGCAAAACTTTCCCAGTGCAGCAGTGTAGCTAAGAGTTACTTCCCATAGATGGTCGGTCTCACTTTCAACTAACCCGGTTATATATTTCTATTGGGCCTTGATAAGGCTCTAATCATGCCTCAAATTTGATGGCTGATAATCTGTTTGAACCCTGAATGAGGCCCGACATTTACAACACTTCTACCATGAGACATTACATAACAAGTTGGTTGGTTTGTTGTTTAATGCCACACTCAGCAATATTCCATCTATATAGTGGTGGTCTGTAAATGATCGAGTCATGAGCATCGATCTACGCAATTGGGATATGATGACATGTGTCAGCCAAGTCAGTGAGACTGACCACCCAATCATGTTAGTTACCTCTTACGGGCGGTGGGGTAGCCTAATGGTTAAATCGTTGGCTCGTCGGGCCGAAGACCCGGGTTCGAATCCCCACATGGGCACAATGTGTGAAGCCCATTTCTGGTGTCCCCCGCCGTGATGTTGCTGGAATATTGCTAAAAGCGGCGTAAAACCAAACTCAGTCAGTCAGTTACCTCTTACAACAAGCATGGGTTGCTGAAGACCAATTCTAACCCGGATCTTCATGTGTTCCTGTTTAATTTCAGGTGATCGAGATGCCGGAGCACAACCCAGGCCAGATGGGTGGAACCATGAGGCTTGGACAAAGGAAGACAATCTTCAGGACAAAGGATTCTTTACTTAGTAAGTTATAATGATAGTAAGACCATTTATATAGTGCTGAACTCCCAAGCCGTACAGGTATGCTCTAAGCGCATACAACATCATGGACACTATTACCCCAAATAACCCAAGCTGCCTTTGAGGTGTTTAAAGGTTAATAGATATATGACTTATCTCAAGTCATTGAAAGTCTCAGGGGTCAAGCTGCCAAACACAGTCATAGATCCATGGACTGTCCGGGACCAACATTGCTTAACTTCAACTGATTTGTGTTAGTCTTTCCCGGCCTGTCAGTCATGTTCGTCTGCATCATACTCAGTTTGTGCAAGCAGTTGATTACCATATATTCAGACCTGCTCACAGACTGATATCTGGCACCAAGTCTGCAGCAAATGTCCGTACAATTTCCCCAAAGGGAAATTTCTTTTCCAGTTTCATGACAATGTTGTCGTAAAAATACGATTGTTTGTTAAGTATTCCACTGATAACAAGACCACAGAGATTAAAGCTTAATTTTATCTCACTATATTAAATGCAGTTTTAAAATGCAATGTTATAATACCCCTGAGACAGAGGACCTCTAAAAACATCCAGATTTTTTAATAAGTAACATTGTCTTCACACCATGCCTTCAAAAGACACTTAATTGTAAATCCTTCATCAATGTTAGTCTTCAACTTTGGAGTTGGAAGGATATGCATCATCTTTAGTGTATAGTCTTGTCTGAAAATGGAGTATATCTTATGCTTATCTTTGCATCATTTCATTTATTAACTTGCTAATTTCAGGGAAGTTGTATCATAACAAGGACAATGTTGATGAGAGACATCGCCACAGATATGAGGTGAGTCCATGCAACAAAATGCAACAAAACATTACTACGCCACATTACAGGACCAACTCATCGTAGGCCACCTAAGGTTTTCTTTCATTCAATGCACATCATTTCATCCACTCTTGAACCGCCTCCGTGGTGTAGTGGTTAGAGCGTCCGCCCGGAGAGTGGAAGGTCGCGGGTTCGATCCCCGACCGCGTCATACCAAAAGAAGTTAAAATATGGTACTTGTTGGTCCCTGTCTGGCGTTCGGCATTAATGGGTAAATGGGCTATGTAGCATCAGAGTTTGCTGCTGTAAGCACTGGTGGCTGCTTTAAAATGTTCATAGCAGCTATTCATTTGTTCGTATGACTTGAGCCATGTCTCATATCTTTTAGGTGTATATGCTTGTCATTTTGGTCAATGTGAGGTAGGGACCGCCTCCGTGGTGTAGTGGTTAGAGCATCCGCCCGGAGAGAGGAAGGTCGCGGGTTCTATCGACCGCGTTAAAATATGGTACTTGTTGGTCCCTGCCTGGCGGTCGGCATTAATGGGTACAGCAAGGACTGGTCAGCTCGGAGTCAGTATAATGTGTCTGAGTGGGGTATTCATGCTTCACTGCGGCATGGTATCTCAGTGAGCTAGCACTATAAAACCAGCTTCAGTCTGGGCTAGTACAAGCAGCCGCACCTACACATACACACGCATGCACGTCGTCATATGAGCGAAATATTCTCAAGTACGACGTTAAACCCAATTTCACCTCACCTCAATGTGAGGTAGGCTAGTTGTTAAAGAGTTTGCTCATCACACCTATAACCCAGGTCGATTCCTCACATGAATACAATTTGTGAAGCCCATTTCTGGTGTCCCGGCTGGGATACTCATGGAGTATTGGCAAAAGCGGTATAAAACCATACTCTCTCGCTTTTTGTCTATATGATCATGAAGTGATATGCACTTGATTTTTGCACTGTTGGTGTAAGTTTAGCTGTCTGGTGTACGTTTTTAGGTGAACCCCACAGTGGTGGAGGAGCTGGAGAAGAAGGGCCTGATGTTTGTGGGACGCAGCGAGGATGGTGAACGGATGGAGATCATGGAACTGAAAGGTGAGCAATAATTCACAGCTGATTGACTTCATAGCACTGTCAGCATATTTAACAAAAGTGCAGTGATTAATAAGGGAGTTAACTCTGCTTGCCTGATGGAAAAAATGTCAGGTGGGCCCACATTCAGTACTGAAGCATTTAATCAGTCGTGGCGAAACATTTGCTATGGTTAAGTGAGTGACCCATCAGTGTTTAAGGTACAATTTTGATGAAACTCTTTTCATCTGCAAGCAGTCTCAATGGCTTGTTCAGTGTTGTCAGTGGATACTTTAGTCAGCCATGGAGCATTTTGAAACAGTATTTTCTTTCATGAAACAGGGCGGTAGCCTAGTGATTATGGGGTCCAATTCCCTACATGGGTACAATGTGTTAAGCTCATTTCTGGTGTCTCCGCAGTGATAATGCAGGAATAGGGCTAAATACGGCATAAAACCATACTCCCTCACTCTTTTGTGAAGATCCGTCTTGAAAGCTGCTTCAGTAATTTATGCTTTTACAGTTTGGGTGAATCCTGCAGTCTATGTTTAAACTGAATATACAGGTTAGGATTGGTCTTCAGAAACCCATGCTTGTCACGAAAGGCGACGGACATGATGGGGTGGTAACATTTGCTGACTTGCCTGGTACATGGCATCATATTCCAACTGTGTAGGTCCATGCTAATGATGGCAACCGGTTTTGCCTGGTCCAAATTTGATCATGTACATCCTACAGCTAGATAGAGTGAGTTTACGCCGCACTCAGCAATATTCCAGCTATATGGCGACAGTCTGTAAATAATCAGACAATCCTTGATCAACATCATAAACATTGATCTACGCAAATTGGGATACAATGATACGTGCCAACCAAGTCCACCCGATCCTGTTAGTCGCCTCTTACGAAGACCAATTCTAACCCGGATCTTCATGGGAGACCTAAAGCTAGAATGTTGCTGAGTGCATTTTTATCAGCAAACAAACAAAACTGTGTATGTGGTGATTGTCATTTCAGATCATCCCTACTTTGTTGGTGTGCAGTACCATCCTGAATACATCTCCCGCCCAATGAAGCCTTCTCCTCCTTATCTTGGTCTTCTGCTGGCAAGTTGTGGGCGCTTACAGTCATACGCTAATCGTGGCTTCAGACTCTCTCCTAAAATGTCCTATTGTGAAGACGAAGATGAACTTTCTGATGAAGAACTCACCAATATCACATCACAGATGAACTTGGACACCTCAAACTCAAACTCATCTTAGAAGTTGTTAGGTCGACCTGAAACAGTTTCATGCGTCATGGAGGAAAGTAGGAGACTCAATAATGTAGGTCTGGATATAAGATTACAGAGAGTTACCATGACTGGGCTGTGAAATTACGGGTTTGCTGTCACTCTGGATTAAGGCAAGGAAATAAACGGATTTATGTCCAGTCCCACCCTTGCAGAACTAGGCAGGAATTTCATGTCTAGACTGTCATACTATTTGTATTAATATAATATGGGCATTTGTAATGCACTGAATTCCACACCACGAAGGGGCACGCTCGAGAGCTACAATCTGATTATTATTACCCAGGTAAACCCAAACTGCCTTTGAGGCGTTAGAATGTTAATTGTCCCATAACTTGAATTGTCCCACCAGGTGCCCATTTTCTGCTGGGTGAACAGAGGCAATTTTGAACAAACTCACTTGCCTAAGGTGAGGCCACATGTATCACATGTGCTTCGTTGTGTGGCAGGACTGAAGTCCTAGAAACTCTCAGGAGTCAAGCTGCCAAACATGGTCACCCACCCAAAGACTCTCTGCGTTGCTTACTTCAACTGATTGTGACCTGAGCTCTGTGCACAGGACCACACACCACCTTTTAACCTTTAAACATGATGGTGGTGGCCAGACAGGTCTGTTGTGAAGTGCATCAAAATCACTAGATTAAAAACAAGAAAAGATTGCAGAACTGTCTGTTGACAACCAGATGATGGTGAACATGTTTTGCAAATCCTGCTTTCAACCACATTCTGAACAGCAGTTGACATGTTTACCAATCGGATTGACAATTTTTATTGGACTATGCACAGACATGTTAGTCCAGCCAAAATATGACTAAGAAATTCCAGACTAGTTTGACAATGGTGGAAACTGGACTACAACACGTTAAGGCTTTTCAGACACTTAGAACATCTTGTTGCCTTGATTATCACATGGACAATTGCAAAATGTCACTAACTTATTAAAAACAACTTGAACACAAGCCATCATCCCAGTATTTACAATGACTGTGGGACACAGCCCACCTCGTTATAGCACGAGGAAACACTGACATCCGAAAACGAATGATCAAACGATAAAGTCAATTAACTCCTTGCCTTGTGAAGATGAAAGTACGATCAGTGTTACGATGACTGTGTTGTTTCGGTGACATCACAGGTCAAGGACAAATTGCATTTCATATTTTGTTGAAAAATTCTTAATGTTAAGTGTACCAATAGTGGAAAACAATGACAAAATCTTAAAAATGGATACATTTATTAGTTATGTTATAATAATGCCCATCCATGACTGTTTGGGTGTTCTTAAGTCATTCCAACTGTTTCCCTTCTGTACATGTACAAATTGAAAATTGTATGATTTTTATAGTTGAGAGAAATTTTTGAACTTGTTTATGTGATTGATTTAAGACGTATGTTCAAACTTGTTTTTCCTTCTTAGATTTGTTCTGTATTGTGTGGACATTAGCGTAGATGTTGTAACCTGTCCGTGTTTTGGTTTATGAATGGTTGGAAGGAAACATGGCTCCATATACTATTTGTCTAGAACAGATTTTGTTAACTGGTATTGTGCTGTATGGGAGCAGGTTTCAGTGGGAAAGGAATGGCTTTGTAGTACAGGAATTTGTCTTGCCGTTTAACATGCTGCTGTCAACTTACAGCCAGGAACCTACACAAGGAGGAATGTATTCCTGTATAGAATTCCATGCATTTATTCTTGGATGAGTGAGATGTGTTTACACTGCTTTGAAAAGTACTTCAGTTATCTGAAAAAAGTTTTATGAAAGGATGAGATTCGAAACCCATGAGTATAATGGCTACATGTGAATGAAGCAACTTACCGGTAAGCCTTACAGTGTTGTTGAATGAATATATTTTTATCTACAACTAGCATAATGAAAGTGCTCAGTATGGTTAAAAAAATATATACATCATTAGATTGCACTGAGAAATTTCAGGGAATTGTGCCTTTAACAATATATAGTCATATCAAATATATGAAGAATGAGATGTGTTAAATGGCTGCCAGGTTATTACATGTGGGTATAGTTAATCTCTCGATCTGTTACCTGTAGTAATATCAAAGAAATGAGTATTCTGTTATTTTTTCTCAGATGTACATTCTAAAGTTCATCTCAGTCTAAGTTAAACTGCTATACTGAGTGTAACAAAACCTAGTAGAAAGTCGCATCAGGTAACCTTTCCAATTGACCAATCAGAACACAGCTTACCAAATCGCGAAAAAGTGGACATTCGCACATACCTTTTGAACTTTTACCTCAAAAAAGTTTGTACCCGAACGATTCCGAATGCTATTTTCCATACGATCGATTCCTAGTGATGCAAGCCACAGCAGTGAGTAAACATTCACTGAAAATAGCGTTTTGTCAGTACTCAAGCATGTCAACTTGTGGAAATATTAGCTAATGATAACCATGTCAACAGGAACACCAAAGCGTATATATACTGCAGGTCAAATAACTGTGTTTTATGCGGATTTTCATTTATTGGGAGATCAGTGTTGGCGACCAGGGACGAGAAAATCCATTTTGTAAGTCCCGTCGAACCCTTAATAGTAGCCGTTGTCTGATTGGTTAAATCCATTCAACCGTTTCACCTTTGATTGGGACCCGTGAAGATCCGGGGGTAGAATAGGTCTTCAGCAACCCATGTGCTTGCCATAACAAGGCGACTATCTTGTCGTAAGAGGCGACTAACGGGATCGGGTGGTCAGTTTCGCTGACTTGGTTGACAAATGTCATCGGTTCCCAATTGCGCAGATCGATGCTCATGCTGTTGATCACTGGATTGTCTGGTCCAGACTCTATTATGTACAGACCGCCGCCATATAGCTGGAATATTGCTGAGTGCGGCGTAAAACTAAACTCACTCTCTCACTCACCTTTGATTGGACGGTCATGGGTCGCTCAAAGGTTACCCAACGCGCGACCTTCGAAAAGGTTTTGTTGGACTCGCAGTATATAGCAGTGTAACGAATAATACTGAGTCTAAGTTTACTTAGACTGAAGTTATCTGAAACTTCTTAAAAACGATTGTTTTGTGATGAGACTGGTAGCCTTCAATCACAAAAGGGCTGAATGAGTCATTAGAAACAAGATCTACATTTGTGTTCACTTACTGAAAAGTTTATCTGATAGTTATCTTCTCAAAAGAAAACTAGTATGGATGGTCTCAGTGCATACATATTTTACTGCTTTTATAGTGGATGCTCTTGTTCCAATGGTATCCCTAATACATTGTTGGTATATACCCATATATAGGTATATAAATATTTGTGTTGTTAATGCTCAAATTACTCCCATCATGTGTTCATTATACACTGCACAAACCATCATGTCTCTATTTGTTTCTTTTTGCTCCATGAAAAGAAATGTCTGTTTTACTTTAAAAAATAATCATACACATGTACATTCACATTTGAGAAGTAATGATAGTTATTGATGAATTATGGAAAAAATTATTTCCAACAATTTTTTAATCCTTATAAGCCTGCTTTCATTGTATATGTAATCTACCTATTTTTTGTGTAGTATACACATTGTCCTCCAGCTCTTTGCAATGATAAATTTGATAAAATTGTGTTGTGTTTGTGGCTAACCTGACTGAAAGTGAACAGAAGTTTTTAGCATGTGGTCTGTTCAATGGGTTGTTGCTTGGCTTGTTTAACACTGCACTCAGCAATATTCTAGCTATATGGTGGCGGTCTCTAAATAATCAAGTCTGAACCAGACAATCCAGTGATCTCAACAGCATGAGCATCAACCTGCGCAATTGGGATACGATACCAAGTCAGTGAGCCTGACCACCCGATCCCGTTAGTCGCCTCTTACGACAAGCATGTGTTACTGAAGACCAATTCTAACCTGGATCTTCACTGGTTTCTTTCAATGAGATATTGCTGAGCTGTCATAATTCAGTTCAGAACTAGGAAACTGCACATAGGAGTGCTTTTCTCCATTAAGAAATATAACATCTTTTGTCAACAGGATATCTTCAGTACATTTCTGAAGGCTGGTCTCTTAAATGACAAAATTTGAGAAGATATTTTACGTAATATGTACATGATAAATGACTCTTCACCTATTCCAAAAGTGTTGTTAAAAAAATATGGAAACAGAAGCCTGCCAATTTTGACATAAATAGTAGGTTATTGATATTAACCCCTGTTATAAATAACATTAAAGAATGTGCAATAAACCAAAAGGGGGTCAGATACATTATTGTCAGTCAGTACTGGGTTGTTTTGCTCACAAAATTCAGTGTATCTAAACGGTTTAAGATGTGTATAGTTCACTCAGTGACCTTTGATTGGGCAAACTCATTTATCCAGAGGGGAAATATCAATTATGTGTTCGCTTCAGCAATAAAATGTAGGTGGACAATGTTCATGTTCTGCTGTGAATATATTATCTGCCATTGTCCTGATGACACGTTGAACATTCTAATGAGAATAAATAGAGAGCGTTTGACTTGTACCTGTAATAAGTTATGTTCTTTACATTTGTGAGCTGTATATCAGTGAGAGGCTAAGGTCCCTGAGGTGAGTTAAAGTCTGGTCCAGATTTGATTATTACCGACGATGCTCATGCTGTTGATCACTGGATTGTCTGGTCCAGATTTGATTATTACAGACCGACGCCATATAGCTGAAATATTACTCACTCAAAATGAGGTTTTCACTCCAAATCTGACCTGTTGAATGTCATGGCTATGTAAAGAAACGTGTGGCTGATAGCAGGGTCAAGCTACGTTCAATAGTGGTTTTGTTGTATGCCAGCTTGAAGGGTTCCTACTCAACTCTCCTCTTAGAACTGCAGCACCAAGATAAGTGGACTCCAGGTAGAATGCAATTCAACTGAGTTTGGTTTTATGCTGCTTTTAGCAATGTTCCAGCAACATCACGGCAGGGGACACCAGAAATGGGCTTCACACATTGTACCCATGTGGGGGGTCTTCGGCATGATGAGCCAACACTTTAACCACAAGGCTGCCCCATAATAATTAGTTCTGTTCCAGTTAACTGAAATAGCCTCATTTTTGGTCCTGTGACCAATCTTTGATTAACTAAGTTTTTTTATGATAGCTCGTTGGCGATGAACCAATTATCAATTGTAAGCTTTCAACCAATTCCCAACACTAATAATCCATTCAAATATTGATAAAACAAACATCATGTGCATTATTTATTGATGGACAATACAGGATACCAAGAGCAAGGCAGGTTGTTTAGGCAGAAGAGAAATACACAGACAGACTTTTCATTACAAGCAAGTTTAAAAGATCTTTCTACAACAGATGTAGATTGCCAGATCCCAGTTGTTGGGAGCTGTATACATTTCATATCTATTATTTGTAATTACATATTTACACAAGACCAACATCTATTTCTGGTGTACGTTGATACACTGAAGGGGGTGCTCGTCCTTGAACAGCACCACCCTCCTGCTTGATGCGGGTAGGTTTGACACTGACCGCTGGCTGGGCACTAGCTGGGCAAGATTCCGATGGTTGAGACTGTACGATAGAAAAGGCTTTGTCACATCATGGATAAGTGCTTGAGAAAATGAACAGAATCTCCACCCTACAAACACATTTCAAGAAGCAATTCTCGCATTACAAATATTGCCAGTGTATGTTAAACCATGGGAGTTATTTTCAGTTGTAGTTCATGATGTTGTGATCACTTTTTTTCAACCACTGTCACTGAACTACACTGGCAAATGTTAATAACTTAGGTCAAATAAGCTTGATTCTTTAGACTTTTACCAAAGTGAGGGAAAAGGATTACATGTATTTGTACAATATGGTGGTCATTCAAATACACAATAATTATTCATGAACAAGATCTGATTGTCTGTGTCTGTTCAAAGACAGATGGCACTGGTGCAACTACCACTGTTGTCTTTCCATGTTCTGTCTTACTACTCTGAGAATATTTGAGGGAGTAAAGTTTTCCTAAATACCATACAGCATTGACAATAAACTAACAATCTTGGCAGTAAATTGATGTTTCAAATGTAACAAGCACCTGGTACTGTATGTCAAGAATATACATATAAACAAGGGCAGATCACATTCATAATATTCTTCAATTCAAATTCAAATTCAAAATGTCAGAGGAAACAAGCTCTTCACCAGGAAACGTGTGTAGAGCTATTTGTATTTACCGGTGTGAGAGGTTTGCTGGGCAGTGTACTCAGATCAATCTTCCCTCCAGTCTCTAACTGCTGCAGTAGCCCCTGAAACATCATGATGAATATAGTGAGTGAGTGAGTTTAGTTTTACGCCGCACTCAGCAATATTCCAGCTATATGGCAGCGGTCTGTAAATAATCGAGTCTGGACCAGACAATCCAATGATAAACATCATGAGCAATCGATCTTCACAATTGGGAACCGATGACGTGTCAACCAAGCTGGCGAGCCTGACCACCCGATCCTTATAGTCGCCTCTTATGACAAGCATGGGTTACTGAAGGGTCATTCTAACCCAGACCTTCACTGGTTCATGATGAATATAAAAGCACGCTGGCGAGGCAACAACTAAATACGTGAGCATGCTGTATTCAATAACCAACTGTAAATTCCTGGCCTGGAGGAATTTGTCTAATTATGACAGTCTCCTCACAGGAATAGAACATGTTCATCAAAAATGTAATTTATTGTGACAAGACTTCAACACATAAGTCACACATCAACCTTGCTTCACACATAAAAAAATATAATATATTGTACTCTATTTTGTGAGTGCTTATCGATCGAGAAAAACCTATGGCAAAACAGTAAATTGTATAAATATGCCTCATTGTAATAAATGCTCCAGTAATGCATCCTGCTGATCTACATGAATATAATTATTGAGAGATGTGTACCTGTGTGAGAGACTGTGCACTGCGGGGTGAGGCGTTGGAGATCTGCAGCAGGGCATCTTTCATGGCCTTGGTCAGGGCTAAGGGTGCTGTGAAACAGAAGAGTGCACACATTGGTCAGCAACACCACCTAACTTCTGAATAAGTTGGAGAATGAGAGTGAGAGAATGTTGTTTTATGCCACTGTTAAAATTATTCCAGCGGTATCTTAGTTGCATTAAGGTAACTGAGTCTGATCCAGGCAAATCATTAAGGAATACCATGAGGAATGGAACATATTGTTGGAAATAGATGACACACAATAAGCCAGCTATTGAGGTCATCCAATCTTCATTTTAGTTGTGCTACAGGAACCAATTTGACCCATAATCTTCACAGGGATAGAAAAGTATTAGTAAAAGTAAACCACTCCAAGGGTGCACAGACATATTGTCGAACAGGCAAGGGATTTTTCATACACAAATCTTGACATTACCAGGGCTCTTTTCTTTGTCCTCCATCAGGTAAGGATGGGCCAGCAGCTCATCAGTGGTAGGTCTGGACTTGGGGTCTCTTGTCAAACATTTCTGAAACACAAATAAAACAATCATAGTTCACTATTATGTAAGCAGGAGAAACTGCAATGAGATAGTTAAAGGCCGGGGTTCAAACCTATACACAGATGGATGTGTGGCCTCCTGGCCTTGTCAAAGCTGTCTCCTCACACTGATGCAAACATACACCATGCAGTATTCAAGTACATTCCATGAAATATCACAAAATTGACTTACCGGTTCAGGCTGATATTAAGTCATAGTATAAAGAAGTATGTTATGAAGACTCACAGCAAAAAGTATGGATGCAGAGAGTCTACAAAACATACATTTTGAAAATATATTTCTCATTTTTAAATCCAGATTTGAATTTCCCACTGTGTCAGTCAGGTGGCCAGAGGAGGTGCGTTTCCATAGAAACAAGCCTTGGAGTGGGGAAATGTTTCATTCAGGGTTTCATATTTCAGGCAGGCTGGGAAAATGCCACCCTCCCCTACTCCCCTGACACCATGCTGTGCAGGGCTAGGGTTGTACACTTATCTGATGCTGACATCTCTTTGCTGAAGATTTGTATATTCAGAATATAAGTAAAATTTGATGTTTCATATATGCTAATCAAATTAATCTCTTTAGTCATCAAAATATGTAGTGAAAGGGTTGTTGGACATTTACTATAAGGCACATGTTTATTCTAGTAGTAAATTCCAAGGTTAACCTTTGACATCGCCAGGCTCTTGCCAGGCACCCATAGCCGTTACAGCCTTGTCACTCACGGGCTGATAACATCTTCACTGCTGAGGAGTAGCAAATGGGAGACTATTTGGAAACCCACGGGGGTTTTGGAGGTTTGCGCCCGGCCTTTAAACTAACATGCTGCATTACTTTAGAGTTGTGCTAAAAAAGTGGCCCAAATTCTGGATGTTTTCAGAATTTCAATTTAAAACTGAACAAATTACTAAAATTACAAGTCTTTCAGTATTCCCCAATTTTCATGTCTTTACCATGACAGTGAAGCTAAATCATTTATTCAAGGTTGCCTCACAGTATGTCTGTTTGATGGTTTCCGTGACAACTGATGACTGTAAGGGAGAAACATCTCAATCATTCATGTCAAAGGTATTCATATTAGGGAAAGACAATACTAGCTGCTTCAGCTCCTTGACCAAATACACTGGTAATTAATGGCACATTCTTCTCACCTTATATGTGGGTTTAACCCTGTCGCCGGCACTTCCACCGTCGGATCCTTCAAAGGACTCCATGATGGCTTCCGGACTCTAGTCTTGTCCTGCTGTACGGCGTTAGCTATACCAAAGTCAATCAGTCGCAGATTGCCCGCTACCATCATGAAGTTGGCTGGCTTCAAGTCCGAGTGGATCACCCCTACACAATACATCATCACCATTACACATAGTGACCGAGTAGCATTTGCCAGAATTTCAGTTATATCATGGTGTCTCAGCCTAATGCCTGAGGTGATGGAGGTTAAATGACTTTACCACAGTTTACTACCAGGTGAAATCATCACTATATCACGTTTGTTGAATCATACTATATACATGTATACATGTGGCGTACTAGGAAATGCATGGTGAGACACAGACAAACAGTCAGTATTTACAAACCATACTCTAAATAAATTTAAGAGAAAGGAAAATGTTACCATTTCTATTTAAATTTTGGTATATATTTCTACTATGAAACCAGTGTGTGAGTATGGTTTTAAGCCACTTTTAGCAATATTCCAGCAATATCACTGTCGGGGACACAAGAAATGGGCTTCACACATTGTACCCATGTGGGGAATCGAACTCGGGTCTTCTGCGTGACGAGCGGATGCTTTAACCAACAGGCTACCCCACCGCCCGCCATGAAACTAGAAAAGGGACTATTTTAAACAGCTATTTCTGGTTATCTCTTATTAGTCTTAAACAAAAAGGGGTGGAAATACTCTGAAATATTTTACTTGTTGTTTACAGTCAAACTCAGCAATCTTCCAGCCATATGACAGTGGCCTGTAAATAGTCAAGTTTGGAAGTCAGTCAAGTGATCAGTGTTGTGAGCAACAATGCACGTGATAGGGTTATGAGGACACAAAGGAAACCAAGGCCCAAGTAAACCGAACCATTTGTTGCCTCTTACAACCAGCATAAGTTGCTGGGGACCTGTTCTAACATGGCATCTGCTAAGGATACTCTGATAAGATGTTCCTTCGTACACAAATATAATCGAGTAACTGCATCAGGTTGTATGAGTCATATCTCCTGCAATACTTTTAGACTCATCAGAGGTTCTACGTAGAAAGGTTCAACCAGACGTATGCAGTTGCGGAGGGAGCTGTACCAAGCATGTATCAGTGGTATGAGTGAGTGAGTGAGTGTAGTTTTACACCGCTTTTTGCAACATTCCAGCAATATCACGGAAGGGAACACCACTAATGGGCTTCACACACTATACCCATGTGTGGAATCGAACCCAGGTCTTCAGCATGACAAGCGAACGCTTAACCTCTAGGCTACCCACGCCCCATCAGTGGTATGATGCTCAGCTGACTACCCTACCACTCTGCAACATCACACACCTTCTTTATGGAGTGCATGTACAGCTGTCAGCATCTCCTTCCAGTAGAATCGGATCATGTGTGGCTCTATCCCCTCGCCACTCTGGATACGACTCTTGAACAGTGTGGCCATGTCGGTCTCCCCAAAGTCCATCAATACAAACAGTTTGTTGAGCTCCTCATTGTGTTCACTACAATCAAACAAGGATTCAAGATGATATGCATGACTACTTCTGTTATCTATGACCATTAGACCGCCTCCGTGGTGTAGTGGTTAGAGCGTCCACACGGAGAGCGGAAGGTCGGGTTCGATCCCCGACCGCGTCATACCAAAAGACGTTAAAATATGGTACTTGTTGGTCCCTGCCTGGCATTAATGGGTACAACAAGGACTGGTACTTCAAGGTATAATTGTCTCGAGTGAGTATTCATGTTCTCGCATTCTCAATCATTCTCAGTGGGCTAGCACTATAAAACCAGCTTCAGTCTGGGCTAGTACAAGCAGCCGCACATACACATACACACGCATGCACATCGTCATATGAGTGAAATATTCTCAAGCACGACGTAAAACCCAATTTCATCTCACCTCACCTCTATGACCATTAGTTTCATATTTGTTGGATCATTTCCGACCCTATATTCCTCAAAAAGAATTAAAAACACCTATATTTCTCCCACCATACACACAAACATATTTCACATTATATCTTTTTTACTTATTCAGTTAACAAGTAAAGGAAAAGTCCATGTAGAGTTATGTCCCTTGTCCTTGAATCAGTGACGGCTGAAATTTACTCTCCTTTACACCAAGGTGAAAAACAAAAAAGCCTTCACAATGGTGCATAATGTGAAAGAGACCTTATCATGTTTATTGGCATGGTATGACAGCAGCTTGAAAAAATAATTCCATTTTGGAGCTTCTGACGATCAGAAAAAATCAGTGATCCAACAGATAAAAAAGTGTCAAAAGCCACTATTTGAGTGTGAGGGATTAAGGGAGCAAGGGAGTGATGGTAACATTCTTCCTGATCACAAGTCCAAACAAACAAATGAATGTTTTACTTACAAGTCATACATCTTGATGACACTCTTGCAGTACTGAAGTTTCTTCAGAAGGCGCACCTCGTTCTTGAAGCCATTGACCACGATCTCATTGGCATCCTCCAGGTCAACACACTTCAAGGCCCTGGTGTTCTTCTGGGTGTCAAACACCTGGTATACCTGCAGACAAACCATTACCATGCAGAATCTTATTGTCAATTAGTAAACAGGGTTTTCAGCAACAGACACATTACGGAATTAGTGTCCCCCCCTAGGATTCAGAAAGGGCAGGGTAACTTCAAAGAAAAGGGCACTTCATAATCTAAAAGGGCATTTTGGTGAGGATTATTGAAAAAATAATAGAAATCTATTAGTCGGCGACACTTCCTTGCTTCAACCTTCACCGCTTCTTCTCTTTTCCTCTTGATTCTTTCCTTGGTAGGCATTGGGATTTGTAAGGCGAATTACGGTAAACACCTTTGACTTCGCCATGGTTTAAATGCCAATTTCCTAATCATTATCAAAACTATTTTGTGTCTCCCCTAGAAAGGGAGAGAACTCCGTCCTATATAAAATCCGGAAAATACACACGGGTTTTTGTAAAATCAAGCACAGCTGAAAAAAAACTGGGATTGAGTCGAACAGGGCTGGGCGCAAAACAAAAAGGGCCAGGCGCAAAAATCAAAGGGCAGGGCGCAGCGCCCTCCTATATGTGCCTAGGGGGAACACTAGGAATGGACACAGAAAATACATGCTGCATCCAAAGGGATGCACAATAATATTCTTTGTATGTACAAGGCATCAAGAACAGATATGGGTGTCTGTCAGCTCAGCCATGACCACTGTTCCCAAGATCACTGATGGATTCCAGGCTTTAAAGCAATAATATAAAAAATACAGTACACTTCACCATTTCATTACTTCAAAGGACCTTCATATTGCCAGCATGGGCCCTTCAAATTACTTTTGTAGATTAAGGTAAAACATTGGTGGGTGGGTGCATGTATGCAAGTGATTGAGTGGAGTTTCATGTCACTAACAATATGTCAGGTTTATCACAGCATGTAAGTTTAGAGTGTGGGGCAAGTCCAAGCGAAAAAGGTTTAGGGTTTAGTTCAGCTCTACCATCCTCGATAATCTCAAGGGTATACGCTACGATCACTCTCCACTATACCCTGAATGCATCCACGGCTTGGCCCGATGATTTTATTACCTCCCTTGGCTGGCTTTTTATCCAATCAGGTGTCTACACTGGGAAGTTGAGCGAACCAATCACAACTCACTTTCGCTTCTTAAATTATCTAACCGTTTAAACTTGGCAACACAATTTGATGCTCTGAAAGAGGTAGAAGGATTTCTTTTATGTATTTTTTGAAAGTTTTAGATCTTAGATCTGAGTTAGATCTGAGTGGCACTGCGAACAAACTTTCGCGACTGCTATCTTTGTTGACACTGGCAAGCTCTGATGTAACGGCGGCTTAGCTGATTGGTTACTGTGAGAATGCGGAGCCAGCAAAGGCAGGTAATATAATCATCGGGTCAAGCCGTGGATGCATCCAGGGTATAGTGAAGAGTGATCTTAACGTATACCCTGGAGATTATCGAGGATGAGCTCTACAAATCTCAGTACAATGTCGGAATTACAAATTTCCCTGTTCATGTAAGCACAGTAATAAGCAGCTTTGAGGAGGTGAGTTGTATTTCACTGATAATAGGACCAGTGAAGGTGACTGAAACGTCTTCTGTGCTTAGTTTCTCATCACTTTGAACGTAATGTCAAAAATCCCAATTTTTTCTGTCAAGGTCACTTCATATCATGCCATAAACCAAAGGATCATAATCAGGATAATAATGAATTCAAACCAATGATCAGCTGATCTAACCTTAGCTAGAGACACAGTTGTGCACCATGAAATGAACTGTCACTGACAAGGAGCCGTATTCAGCAATATCTGCACAAAGTGCATCAGCTACAGTACAGTTCCAGAAAGTCACACTGTCAAACATTGTTCCATCCTCTGTTATCAAGGGTATTATAGCTACTAAAGCGGCCTTCACATGGCAAACTAAAGTTTGACAACACATGTTGTCAATCTCAAGTTTGAGAGTGTGAACATTCCAACAACTCGCCACCAACACCAATTTCAGAGTTATCAAACTGTTGTCGAGAAATAGGATCGGTCTCTATTCTCACCAACTTTTCCATCAAACTTTCAGTGTTGTCAAACTCGGTTTGACGTGTGAAGTGTTGTCAAACTCGTGTTGTTCAGAAACAACCAATCGCAATCAACGAAATTGTCACATGGCCGCACCGATAGAGACATAGTGCTCCAATGACATGAAAGATTGACAAATTAAAAAAATTTCACAACATGTGTTGTCAAACTTAAGTTTGTCGTGTGAAGGCCGCTTAAGACTGCGATAACTACCCTGGGGGGCATTCACTACAACAGCTTCAGTTTGACAGGTTGTTGATCGCTGAATCAGGTTCTGTGCTGTGTGAGCATAGAGTGATGGAGACTGAGACAAATAAGCTACATGCAATGGTTCTGGGATATTATCGTAACAAAGGAGCAACAGGAAAATTGATGAAGACAGTGTTTACAGCGCTGTCTATGTTTTATAGACATGACTGCCACAGTAAACATGATGAACACTGACATTAGTGCCAACTTGCAAGCCCTTTACAAAATATTGGCTTAACACTCATCAATGAGTAATATTTCCTGAAGATATGTCGTGTAATTATATTGATATGCTTGAATTTTCTTTGCTGTATCTTCTAACTGTATCAAACTGATATCTGAAAAACAGATGCTGAATCATGCTGAAAGTCTGCATTTATTATATACAGTAACCATGGTAACCCACAAATATAAGTATCAACACAGTGTACAATCCTTGCACGTGACACACCAAATTTGGTAATCTAGTTACCTTTGCTGAACCGCCTCGTCCAACCAGCTTCCAGATAAAGTACTGCTGACCATTGACTGTCACAGTATCTACAGGGTTCTGCAAGGAATAACACTGATTAGTGGCATGTCTCATTACCTTGGTCTGTGCAGCCAAGCAAGGCATTAACCACTTGCCTACAACTGAATTAAGAAGGAGCATTAATTATCATACCAGCCTTGCCAGCTTTGAATAGCGAATATTTGTGGAACTGAGGGTAAATAAATATAGGTTTTCAGATTTCAGCGTGGCTGCAGCAGTCATTAAGCACAGAGAGTTGTTACACAGAGTTGGATCACTGTAGCCTGTAAATAACTTGGGCCAGTTACACTAATGGTTGACCATTGCTGACTGAATGAGCAAAGATATGCACGGTCCAGGCATGACAGCTAATATTTACAGTAAAAAAATCAGCTGATATCTGGAAACATCCACCAAGAAGTGCCCCCACAAGACTCACCATGCCTGGTGTGAGTGATGCCATCTCTCCCACTCGGTTCTTCGTGCAGGGTGTGGACATCTTAGACACTGCAGCAGCAGCAGCACTATAGAGGGAAGATGAAACACATTAGTACACACTAATGAAACACACACCTGTCAATGCCATATTCGACATGACAATACAGTTTTACACCATACTAAATCTGAGGCAAGTGTATGTCCTAATATATGGGAAAAGTTCAGACTTGGGGATCCTGCTATATCAATCAATATATTAGATTTTTTTACGAAAAGGTCAAATCAAACATTTGGACCAATCCATCAAATTAGCATGTGAAAGAAAAACAGTTACATGTATTGTTTACACAATTATTTAGCTTCATGACACATCCACACAAGTATGATTAGAGTGTTTAAATGGGGATCCGGGCAAGTCCAACTCTGACCACACTGTCATCTTATATCCCAGACCACCCATCAACCCATGGAAATGAAAATCACTCAGTATAACAATATAAAACTGTATCAGGATTAAGTGGTGTTCAGATTAATTGAAATAATTGAAGATTGCTCGCAGTGACCAAATGATCAAGCAATCGATCACAATTTTCTCATAATCGAACACAAATGATTTTGGAACTACTGTTTAAGTGTTTGAAACACTTGACAAAGGAACATATCTTAGAAGTTGTCAGGGCCTGAAAACTTGCTTATTTCTTAGAAAACTTACCAATAAGTCATGAGTCTTGAAGACTCACGGAAGTTTATGCTCATGATATATTAGTCATCACTGCAAAGTCGCAAGTTGCATCATTTTACATTGGATATGACATTTGAAAATGCAATTTGCGCAGTTTCTACATAAACAACAGAGAACCACATTTTTTTCTCTATACTGGAACAGGAAAATATGGATAATGAAGCAAACCAATTACTTTTGATGACTGCACATTGGTAATGAACCAATCATGAATTGTGAGATTTCAACCAATTCCCAATAATATCAGGTTTACACATAACTCACCCTGCATTAGCCGGAGTGGGAATGTTGGGGGTAGGCAGGGAGGGTGGCTGAATACTTGGTGCTGGAGGCTCCTTCACAGAAGAATCTGTCTGCTGTCCAGCACACACTGAATCACTGTCTTTTCTCTCAGTCACTTTCTTATCACAATCAGTGGAGGACTTGGCACACTCAGGTGGCACAAGACGTTTCTTACATTCAACACTAGAAATTGCTGGCTTTGGTTTCTCTACTATACTCAGGTCGATAAAGCTTGCCGGCGTCACCTGGCTTTCAGGTTTGTCTTTGATGTTATGATGAGTGGAAGATGCCAGCGGAGTCCTGTATTTCATTGGTTCTTTGAAGTCACATGACTGAGCAACCTTCCCATCTGTTTCCATGGGAACTGTCTCATCAATCTGTGACATTGACAGGTAACCCGATGTGTGAGCATGGGAGCCAAAAGTCTCTGAAATATACACCATTTGATCCAATGTCAAGGTCATGACTGGTTAACCATGGTAACCAAAACTACACAAAACATGTTTGAAAATCACACTGTAATAACGTCCCAATATTTACACATGGCAATTTCAATTTCAATACTTAAAATTAACTGGTCAAATGAGTTGGTTGGTTGGTTGGTTGTTTAATGCTGCACTCAGTGATATTCCAGCTATATGGAAGAGGTCTGTAAATAATGGAATCTGGACCAGACAATCCAGTGATCAACAGCACAAGCATCAATCTACACAATTGGGATACGATGACTTGTGTCAACCAAGTCAGCAAGTCTGATGATGATCCCTTTAGTCGCCTCTTATGACAAGCATGGGTTGCTGAAGACCAATTCTAATCCTGATATTGCACGGGTCTGGTCAAATGAAGAAAAACTATGTCAAACTGCTGTATTGTTGAGAACAGGTGACATTTCATTGTTCTTTCTTTATGATAAAACAAAGTTCCTAAAATGTCAATAGAAAGTATATATTCAACTATTCAAAACTCAGAATTATCATCTGAAATCACCACATTGTTAACCCTTGCTTTCTTGATTATCATGGTTTATCTACAAACATTTCAACACCAGATTCCAAGGACTCTATACACCACACAGCTCCACATTTATAACCAATTACAGCTTTCTTCCAATATGTCGCATTTGTTGTACTTATCAATGCATTGACCACAATACATTTATCAAAACTGATCCACAATTATTTTGCTATTCCCATTCTGAATATGATGAATTTCACTACACACCATTCTCCTGTGGATGTGAAGGAAGAGGCTTGATACTGTCAATATTTTTCTCTTCTTCCAGATCAATATCATCTTCTTTCTTGCTGAATGGAAGACTCATCTTCTTCACCCTCATCGGCAGCCCAATTTTTGACGTTCCAAGTGGCCTGTCAAAATCAGTACTTATGTTTATGTCTGGAATGATTCACTATGAAGGAGGTGGGGCAAGATGATGATGAAGAGAAGTAAGTGGACAAGGGAGGGGACAAGGAAGAAGGTGGATGAGGTAGAGAGAAGGAAGAAGAGGAGTAACAGAACATGGGAGGAGTAGAAGGAAAAAGAGGTTGATGAGGTAGAGGAGAGGGAGGAAGAAGAAAAGTATGAAGACAAGGGATGGGTAGAGGGAAGAAGAGGTTGATGAGTAGAGGAGAGGAAGGAAGAAGAGAAGTATGAAGACAAGGGAGTAGTATGAAAGACAAAGGGAGGGGTAGAGGGAAGAAGAGGTTGATGAGTAGAGGAGAGGAAAGAAGAAGAGAAGTAAGAGGACAAGGGAGGGGTAGAAGGAGAAGAGCTTGGTGAGGTAGAGAAGTAGAAGGAAGACAAGAACTAAGGGGACAAGGGAGAAGCAGAAGGAAGAAGAGGTGATGAGGTAGAAGAGTAGAAGGAAGAAGAGGTTGAGGTAGAGGAGGAGAGGAAGAAGAGAAGTAGGAGAGGAGGAAGAAGAGAAGTAAGAGTAAAAGGGAGGATTAGAAGGAAGAAGAGGTGGATGAGGTAGTGGAGTAGAGAGAAGAAGATGAGAAGGAGAAGATTACCACAGACAACTATGCCTGTCTATTCTTAAGTGAGACCATCTCACAAGAGATGTCTCTTTGGGAGAGATCATCCTTTGTACACAACTCTTTGCCTAATACACCAGTACTCTGAACAAAAGACATTCAATGTTCCCTAAAATGTCAATACACAGTGACTCTTGAGCTTGTTTATTTTGCTCAGAACTGCCACAGTTGCCCTAACATAAGCAGCCAGGAAACATCATGACTTTGTTGTCTCATCTAATATCCAGGCCCTGTTGTGGAAATTCTCTGGGAGGGTGAAAGGATGTTTCCATGTGTGGTAACATTAATTTCAGCTACAGAAAATCATGATACAACACCGCATCTTCAAATTTTCAACTTGGTGTCTATATTAGGAAATTCTCTGCCAAAATCACGTCACGTTTTGCCCGGGAATTCAGAAGTTTTTTCTTGGTTCACAGAGAGAAGTTATGATAAATCTGATTGTCTTTAAACCCGATGATCAATCATTGAGATCACAGCTGAAAGATTATCTCCCCTGGTGGAAACTCAACTAGCCACTCAGATACTTATTAGAGCATGTTTATTCAGTTCTTCAAAGTTTGACGTCTGGGACACAACATACAGAGGCCCCGATAAGCTGCGTATCCGGGTAAAATACGCATAGAAAATTTCCAAGTACGCATTGAAAAATAATTGTTGCGTACCACTTACGCATTTAAAATGTTAGATACGCAAAACGTTTAAAACAAATGCGTATGGAATATATTTTAAAAAATCGCTTGCGTAATGAAAAAGACATCGATTGCTATCAAGTTGTACTGTTAGTATAGGACAAGTGTTGTACTGTCAGTATAGGATGAGTGATTTTTTTATGAAATCATTTCCATTATCTTTAAGTTGGTTTTGAATAGGTATGACATAAGGCAGAACATACCTGCTTAGTAAACTTACTCAATGACATGATACTTAGGTGAGTAAAATGACTGAATTATGCACATATTTGAAAACAGTGGGTAACGGAAAATGAAATACCCACTCAACATTCATAATACCAACTCCAACAAAATACAGTGGGTACAGTACCCACATGAGCTAAATCTTATCTGGAGCTCTGCAACATAGACAAACTTTATGAATAACAACTTCTTTATTTCGAGTGTGACGTTTCGATACAGATTCCTGTACTGTAGTCAAGCAGGTCAGCAGGTCAAACAGCTTGACAACGGAACAAGAATCTGTATCGCAACGTCATACTCACGAAATAAAGAAGTTATCCACAATGTTTGTCTATATTGTACTTCCCAGCTTCTAAACTGCCACTCAAAGAAGTCAGCGACACATCTGCCCATATATACAAGAGGGTTTCAAACACAGCATTGAAACAGAGCTTACCTCTTCCAGTTAGGGACCGAATCAGATGTCTTGGTCATCTGACGACACTCTGGCGTACTCTGAGAGTGTCGGAGAGGCTGCTTGCTAGCACTTTGTATGACCGACTTTAGATGGGACAGACTGGCTGCATCAGACGTCAAGTTACCATTTGGAGTGTCATGACTCGTAACACATGAAGCGGTGTGGGACCTGTTGACAAATAGTGTTGCATGCCACTCAAGATATCTTTAGATGATATAGGTGAAACAAAATACATGCTTATAATGATCCTGATTTTCAGTTATCACCTTAAGCCATATATTATTGAAGAGTGAGTACAGTTTTATGTCGCTTTTAGCAATACTCCAGAATATCATGGCAGGGGGACACCAGAAAAGGGCTTCCCACATTGTACCCATGTGGGGAATCAAACCTGGGTCTAATACAACAGCTGTCTTTGAATACTCAAGTAAACCAGTGGTCGACAGCATGAGTGATGATCATCTTGTCATGATGACACACAACCAGTCACAGGGTCCATACATAATGGACACTAACAAAAACAAGGAAGACTGGGTAACCATGGTAACTATTTTGCTTCAGCAGCCTAGTAGGGATGCTGACACAGTGGCAGAAAACCTGAACTATAGTGCCTATATACAATGAAGTAGTGGATAGGGTATTTAGTATCATCAGAAATCTCTACCACTTACTGTGCTGACAGTTCAGATTTGGTCACTTTGGATGGGAACACTTCATCCGTGGCATCCTTACTGTTGGCCCCACTGTCGACAATGCATTGTTGTTGACTCTCGGCTGGATACAGAGAAAGACCAAAATCATGATTCCGAAAATGTCGTGCACTATTCAAAACAAATTTCGAAACATGCCAACAAGGCCGAGCATTAGAAATATACTCCTTTAAGTATCCACATCACAAACTTTCAATATTTAATACCTTCTACAAAAATCTCACAGCATATTTAGTGTTCAAAATAATGTCCTGGGTTCTCTCCTTCACTTAAATCTAGTGAACTCCTTAGTTTCACATCCACTAGTCCTAATAATGATATACATATTACAAAAGAGTTAAAATGACAAATTTCAATAGTCCTATCAATGCCTTAACTATGGGCCAATTTGGCAAGGACTAAAGGACTTGTGCTAATTTCCATTTCTTCTCTTGGATCCAGTACCTGACTGTCCCAGGAGCCGGGACATATATTGGCTTTTCAAGAGACATGATTGTGACCTAGTCTGAAATTCTAATGTTTGTCTGGTCCAGACTCGATTATTTACAGACCCATATAGCTGGAATATTGCTGAGTGCGGCGTAAAACTAAACTCACTCACTCACTAAATTTTCATCCTTTAGTAATTAAATGTGTAAGTGCACTGGAATGTTTAAACTGCAATGCATAGTAGAGCAGTCACCTTGCACAGTACTCTCCACAGACGTCAGTCTCGTCTTCCCATTGTCTAGGTTCTTCAGAGCCTCTCTCACTAACTCCTTAGGTTCAGCTTCTATAACGTGAGCCTTCTCCAGAATCTTCTTGGCTTTTGATACATTGCCTAAAACACACAACTCATGATTAGTGTGATCTATGTCTTGAAATTAGTCAGTTGACAATGAAATATGCCATTTTATTTTCTACAGATTAACATGTGGAAAATGAAAGAAATTTGCATTGTATCATTGTACTTGTATGTGAGTATCCCAAGCTAGCCCACCTTGTTTCACTTCAAACTCTGCTGCAGCTGTATGTACAATAGCGAATCTGCGCACAATTGATCTGGCATACGTCAACAATGCCTTCCGCCTCGTCTGGGCTGTATTCACTAAAAACCAACAAAATAGACATATAAAAACCCACAAACACACCTTATCGGCAAATGAAGAACCGAAAAGCATTAAACACGTCACAATTTAATTCTGGACTCACAAAAGTCCAGAAACTCTCCGCACTGTGGGCACTTTCTGACAAGGGATTTGACCTAATTAAACATGCAGTTGTTATGAATATATGCCAAGGATGAAAAAATGAAAAAAAATTCTTTCGAAAACTTTAAATTTAAACTCGCTCGCCCATGGGCAGGCCCATGACAGAACAGTGGCCCATGGGCCGCCCATGGGCTTAGAATGTTTAATTCGATCAGAATTCATGTTTTGGAGGTTGTAAATGAATGAGTGTATGTTTGTAAGCATCATGACACAAATTTCAACTCATTTTGACTTAATTCGACTAATTTAGAGCGATATTAAAATCTAAGCCCATGGGTAGAAAAACATTTTGGCCCATGGTGAGAATATTGACTTTTACTCAAAATATATGTTTTTCCATGTTTTGGAAGTTGCAAATGAATGAATGTATGTTTATAAGTACCATGAAACAAAAATTCAACTCATATTGACTTAATTAGACTAATTTAGAACGATATTAAAAAATCTAAGCCCATGATAGAGTTGGCCCATGGAAGAAAGATAGGATGGCCCATGAGTGTATGTTTATAAGCATCATGACACAAATTTCAACTCATATTTACTTTTACTCAAAGTACATGTTTTCCCATGTTTTGGAGGTTGTAAATGAATGAGTGTATGTTTATAAGCATCATGACACAAATTTCAACTCATTTTGACTTAATTCGACTAATTTAGAGCGATATTAAAAAAATCTAAGCCCATGGCTTAAAACATTTTGGCCCATGGGCAAGAATATTGACTTTACTCAAAATATATGATTTTCCATGTTTTTGAAGTTGCAAATGAATGAATGTATGTTTATAAGTATCATGAAACAAAATTCAACTCATATTGACTTAATTCGACTAACTTAGAACGATATTAAAAATCTAAGCCCATGGGCGAAAAATAGGTTGGCCCATTGGCGAGAATAATTACTTTTACTCAAAATATATGTTTTCCATGTTTTTGGGGTATGGTGGTTTATCCTTATTATAAACATATTAATTATTACTTTAGCTCTCACCTACTTCATCATATGTAGTCACTAGGCACTTAAAACATTAGAAGTAATGCCATGAAATGTGGCTCGTCAATGGTATCGTTAATGCGAACTGATAATATCAAAACATACACGTCAGAACAGTCAAAATTAAGAAATTGTTGAATATGAAATATTACTGTTAATTTGTAATTCTTGGAACATAAACAGTATTGTGAGAGCTTAAAAATGTAACTGCATTGAAATATGTCTTGTCAATCCTTTTGACATTTGCCAATAACCACTTCCAAATAAAATAAATAGTCCATGCTGCTTCAGAACAAATAAAGGTCAATTAGGGAGCCCCAACTGGGTAATTAAGGAGAGAAGTCAATACACTGTCACTTCCTGCCCAGGACGCCACACGTCACCACTTCGGGGGCGAAGGGCCTTGTCAAACCTCCTCACAAAGGAAACAAAAGCATCAAAACTGTGTTTTATTCTAACGTGACACTCGGTATGTCGTCATAGTATTCATTGTTGACTAACTTCTATCGTGGGCAACCCCCACACTTGCGAGGTGTACCTACCCAGGTTCGCAGACGTTTCGTTTTAATATTTTGTGATCAATTATTTTGTAATTCCCGTCTGCCCGTCGCCACGGCTATTCTTCGCCCGAGGTTTAAGGGAGTGAGTCTATTATATTAATTGTATTTTTTTATTGTGTCGTTTAACGAGCTGGACACGGAGTGCTGTTATCATGAATGTTATCATATATTAGTGGGATGCATTGATAGTAATGAAAACTTATAAGAAGATATTGTACCTCAACATACAAACCTATCCCGATAGCTCTCATCGTCACTCTCATGTCAATCCATTGTGACTGTTGCAGTCCTCCTGTACATCCTGTATATATAAGCAAGTTGGGTTTTTTATTTAGGATTTATTATTGCTAAACACACATTTAACCGAGATGAAGAAGGGGTCTCAAATTCCATGTATGCTTTTGCTCTCATAAGTTAGACATCCCATTTGTCAGACACGCCAATTATCAGACAACTTTGGATCAATCAGGCGTGACTGTGATTACAAACCTAGTTTTACCCAGTGGCGTAATAGACCCGTCCCATAGACTAACGAGATGTTTTCATATTAGTGGTTAGTGGTATATTTTAACACTAATTATGAGTTTGTTACTTTTTGTGCAGAAATACTTTGATCAGAATACTAATATTAATTGACCCGGCTTCTCACAGTTTGTGTTCATAATGTTCACTTTGATCAAAACAGGATTATAGATTTCCCATGTAACTAATTGAGTTACTCCCAGCGGTACAATGGTGGATCACGAATGGCTGTTGGGCTTCCTCTGCTCCCCTATGAATAACTGACAAGAAACTTGAAACCAAGATGGAGTAAACAGTTAAAACATAAACTCAATGAAGCTGCAGGTTTGCACCTTAACAATAAAAAAATCAAAACAACACAAATATTTAATAAGAATAAATAACCATCACTAAGCTATCGATAGTCACACACATTCTATTGATGGATCGATAATTTTCATTTCTACCATCGACATTGCTTTCGGAATAATTGCAATTCATCGATAGTTTGATGCATCATTACAGCCCTATTAATTATATGGCTTAATATATTCTTAAGCACATAACTTTGGATTAAAGGTAACAGTGCAGTGTACCTGCGTGCAACCAACCATAACTTATGTTGATTTGACGTGTCTGGGACGCGTCTAACTGATCGGAGGACACCAGAGAGTAAGTTGCATGCAATATTTTAATATTGCCCTTGTGGATTGCCATTATGATTTGCACACATTATGTTTTGCAGACAGTGTACATCACTATCTATGTAATTGTATTATTGTTATGGAGCGGCATTGACATGCATGTTTATGTTTGTTTGCCAATCCCGTCATGATTACTTGAAGAAAACATGTTTAAACTATACATTGAACTATCCATAGTATTAATATGTAGTCTTTACATTAGGCAATGAGGAATACACAATATATTCAAGACTGAGTTTGATTTTACCTTTTAAAAATTGTCAATATTTTTGCAACAGCCTAAAAGATTTACCTTGACCTCGTTATGCACAGGTCCGTGGATGTGGTCTCGGTATTTTAGAAACTATGTCGTTAAGACAGTTGAGAGTGTTGATCTGTATGCAGTCTTTCTGCATGCATTTTCACGAGATCCATTTTCCCCTTGTCCTCTTTTTCACTATGAACTTATAACCATTTACACAAAGGTATCTTTCACCACGAAATGTAGGGTGAGCTGAGTTAACACATTTTACATTTGGTAGAAAGCTAGTGTCCTATTCCCTTAAAACAACACCGTCTGTCACAACATCAAACATCCAAGGATTTTACCTCGACCCAAAGGTCTAACCAGAGACCATATAATAGATCTATTATATGGTCTCTGGTCTAACTCTACGGGTCTACCCAGTAGACATCAGTTGCTTGATAACGGTTTTAGCAGCTACGCCGAAACGGGTGTCCCCAGTTTGCCAGCAGATATTTTTAAAGGTTTCAGGTCACTGAACCATGCTAATCTCTTGAAACAACAGGTGATACACTTTTTAGGCCTAAAATTATCCAGTTAGGCAGATACCGCTCATTAGGCTATGTGGGACTTCATGCCTCACTGGTTTTATGGGATTACGGTTCACCTTACCACTGCGCTGAGCCCGTGAACAGAGTTCACCTGAACTGATACTAACACGAGTGAGTCATTAAATTAATGATTGGTGTTATGTTTAAACTGAACACATCACTTATCTCGTTGACATATCAACCTGATAAGGTCATAACAGAACTACACAGAAATAACATTGATGTAGTTGCAGGGTCGTGGTTGTGTGAGACCTAAGAAAAACAAATATCGCCAGCTTGAAAAACGGCTAGGATAGACTGTTGCAAGATGGTGTCGAGACTCCACTTGCTTACGGTGTGTCTCACCTTGTGGGACTATGAATAATGATGTATGCTTGTGATATTGTGTATAATGTGATATTTTATAATAATGTATGTTTGTATCATGGTGGTAGTGCTAATATTGCCTAATGGTTGTATTTCATAATACTGTTGATGAGATTGATGATGATGATAATATGTATATTGACATAAATGAATGAATGAAGTCACAGCATCAATTTTATGGGCAGCCAAAATATCCTGGACCATATTACAAACGGAACAACCTGCCCTGCACGCCATTCATGTGTGTCCTCGTATCCCAGGTAACCCCTGCTGCCTGTTGGGGGTACAGCCGTAAAACGCCGCTTACAATATAATAAAGAAGTTGTATATCCATATAACTTTCTCCGTTGTTCAAATTATCATGGTCTCAACAGATATTGCATTGTCATAAGAATTCAAGAGAGATTTTCAAGTTATTGTGTTGTCATCCACATGTTGATTTAGCTGGTTTCTTCCTCATTTCCAATTTCATCATTCTGAGTTTCACCTCAGTTGATTATTTCAGTGTGGCTCGCGAAAGACGAGGTCACGCGAGCCGAACGATGACGCTTAGTGTATCTCAGCGCTCAGTTACGTAATTTCGCCAGTTTTCGCGCAATTTAATGCGAAAAGTCGTTGTGTCCCATCCGTTGGTCTTGTGTATTGGAGTTATACAGCCCACGATTTTCAAGTGTATTTTGCTTTCCAAATATATACAATCCATTGATCACTCTGGGCTAGGTGTGAGATGTACAGGTGCTCGTGGGGGGTTTTTAAAGACTGACTGGCGCTATCGCAGCCAAATATCGTACATTCTAAGGAAATCTCGAATTGATTGTATTATAAGGTGTCGAAATGGTGTTAAATTCTCTTTGTGCATCAACTTATTTGTCATGCAAAATTGGTGTGCATATATGTGTGATTGAACAACCCTGTTTACTGAGACAGGAATAGGAACTTTGACCTTTCTCAAGACGTGCACATTTATCGCGTATATGCTCTTGAAAACCTTGTTTGGCAAGATGTGCTTTTCAATTTTGCTATTGTGTGCATGTTCATATTGTATTTCAGTTTTGAACATATGGTTTAAACATATTTATATTATCAGAGAATCTGGTTTGGTAAACAAGCAAAACATTGCTTTTATTAATACCTCACCGGTACATATAAAATATAACAGAATACACAAGAACTGGATAAACAAAAACGCCAAATTAATTCCTATCATAAGTAGTAGCAAACTGTCACTGACACCTTCGCTAGGTGGATAAACGGACATAAAATCCTCCCGAATACACCGTGATCGCAATAGTAAACAGAATTTATCTTAACGAATGTTTAAAGACAGACAGACAGCTAGACATAGTTTATCAAAGTGCCCCATTTATGTAAACAAGATATATAATACATATAACATAAACGCATAATGTTTTATATACATCCAGCCTTAACAGGCTTATGAAACACTGTTATCTAGAGGGTCAAAATATACATCATAGAAAGATTTTTATAAAACCATATTTATACATAACCTTAGGCAAAAATATCTTAAATCTCTCTCTTCATGTAAATATAGCTTGAAATTCAGTCATATATTTCACTAACAAGGTATTGACCAGTCGATTTGAACCACTGCTTCACGGTTTACTGACTGCCGTGGATGCACATTTTCAAGGGTACAGCTTCATTAAGCCTTATGCAACCAACCATAAACGTGCTGTTTTAAGCGGTCTGTCTTTTTTGGGAGGTCTATCTTATGTACATTCACGTGACACATAAATAAACTATTTTGTCTGTCTTATGGGAAGATACCGTTTTTTTTTCAATGGGCGGATATAAATGATTTACTCTGCCTAATGATTTGTACAACACCACCCAAGCAGTGCACAAACGTGCACCCGCATACATTGTAATTTGTTCGGTTGTAGAAAAAAGTCATAGGGAAAAAAAGTCATAGATTTGGGTAGGAAAAAGTCATAGGAAAAAGTCATAAACTCAAAAAGGTCAGTATTGATGATGTATTTTTTTTAACACGTCATAACAATATTATCATCAACAGCACTACCACATTTGAACCTAACTTATAAAATTAATGTAATCATTCAAGTAAAATACATGACATCAGAAAATGCACTGTCATCATAACAATTTGATCTGTAACAGCACTACATCAGTCAGTTGTCCCTGCATATTTTTATTATATTTAACCGAATGTTCCAGCCAATGCCATGAAGAGTTTGGATCACAGTCTGACGGGCCAGCGAGTCTTATATTAGCTGCTAGAGGGAGCCATTTGAGTAAGAGCATTAACTGATAATCCCATGAGTTCATTAATCGCTGTGATATCGTCAAGCTCAAAGCTAGTTAAATAAACAATCAGGTGACTTGTGACTTTTAATCCCACAATCTGTTCATCTCTCCTGTTTTGATAAGATCCAATTGCTTAAAAGCGCCACACTAAAGGAATAATTAACTTGAAAGTGAAATAGTATAAACAAAGTAAATAACTGGAGGACATTATGTTTTATAATAGTTATTTTTTCTATGTCTTTTTCTTCATGACTTTTTTCCGTCCACCATTTGTTCAAGGTCACGTGAATCAATCAGAGATGGACATTATTACATGAGGTAGGGTAAATGTGCATTGTGCGCACGTGCTTAGGAACCTTGAACTTGCAGTTACATTTAATTATTTGGCGCACAGATATTGGTCTAGAATAATTTATCGATTCGCTTAGTCTTGAAGATGTATTGATGCAGGGACTCCATTATGTTCTTGTTGACATTGTTGGTAGCTAGAGGTGTTCCTAATTTTCACAGTTTGGAGTGAGTGAGCGAGTAAGTTTAGTTTTAGGCTGCACTCAGCAATATTCCAGCTATATGGCTTAACGGTCTGTAAATAATCGAAGTCTATACCAGACGATCCAGTGATCAACAAATTGAGCATCGATCTAAGCAGTTGGATGAGTCAGTTTAGTTTTACGCCACACTCAGCAATATTCCAACTATATGGCAGCGGTCTGTAAATAATCGAGCCTGGACCAGACAATCCAGTGATCAACAGCATGAACATCGATCAGCGCAATTGGGAACCGATGACATGTGTCAACCAAGCCAGCGAGCCTGACCACCCGATCCCGGTAGTCACCTTTTACGATAAGCATGGGTTACTGAAGGCCAATTCTGACCCGGACCTTTACGGGTTTCACAGTTTTGTCTTCTTGAGAGGGTACGTATGTCTAAAAACATTTGAAGTAAATTTAGATACACCAGGTTTATAATAGTAGGATACTTGTGTTTTTAAGTGATGGCTAAATTTGTGCACAGTCGCCAACGTATGAAAGGACCTTGTAAGTCCTTCTAGGGTGGGTGGGGTGAAGGGGTGGTATGGGAGCATTGAGGGGGGCAAGGCAGGCTGAGCGAGTGTAGTAATTGAGGGGCTATGGGCGGCCTTGACCGTGGAGTTTGTTATGGATGGTACTTGAGAGGCGGGCGGGGTCGGTGGTGGCTGTAGGCGCCGGACCTCGGAGGATACAGTAGTTGTTGGGAGGTAGAGTTGATGTGAAAAAATGAAGGAATATAGAAGCGCGGACCTCTGAGAAGACAGGTGGTTGGAGAGAGGTGAAGTTGTAGATGGCTTGATAGTGAGCAGAAAGTGGATCGAGATTGCTAGGTTGAGAGGTGGGCGGACGTCGGAGAGGACAGTCACGCACATATGGGTGAATTTGGAGTGACTACATACCAATCCGTGAAACAATTAAGTAATGAAACAATAGGCTTAGAGCTTTCAATACAACTGATAGCTCATGACAGGTAATTAATGACAGATGGTCGGATTGGGGTGTGCTGATAGCTATAGTCCGGGAAAGCCACTTTTAAGAGAACAAGAGTTGAAAATGGTTCGCTCAACCCGGCAATGGGTATGGTTGAGTGATCGTGTGAAAGTGGGTCTCCGGCAATTCGCTATTAGCTAATCCATGTTACCGTAAATAATCCAGATTTTTTAATGTCTCTCTAAGTTAGTCAAATTAAGTCAAAATGAGTTGAAATTTGTGTCATGATGCTTTTAAACATACACTCATTCATTTACAACCTCCCAAACATGACTTCTGATCGAAATTATACATTCTAGCCCATGGGCCAACCTCTTTTTAAGCCCATGAGTGAGATTTTTTAATATCACTCTAAGTTAGTCAAATTAAGTCAATATGAGTTGACTTTTGTTTCATGATACTTATAAACATACACTCATTCATTTACAACCTCCAAAACATGGAAAACATATACTTTGAATAAAAGTAAATATTCACCATGGGCCAACCTATTTTTTTCCCCATTGGCGAGATTTTTAACATCCATCTAAGTTAGTCGAATTAAGTCAATATGAGTTGAATTTTGTTTCATGGTACTTATAAACATACACTCATTCATTTACAACCTCCAAAACATGGAAAATCATGTATTTTAGTAAAGCCAATATTCTCGCCCATGGGCCAAAATGTGTTTAAGCCCATGGGCTTAGATTTTTAACATTGCTCTAAGTTAGTCAAATGGAGTCAAAATGAGTTGAAACTTGTTTCAAGGTACTTATAAACATACACTCATTCATTTACAACCTCCAAAACATGGAAAATCATGTATTTGGTTAAAAGCCAATATTCTCGCCCATGGGCCAAAATGTTTTACTTATAAACATACACTCATTCCATCCAAAACATGGAAAATCAGATTTTTTAATATCGCTCTAAGTTAGTCGAAGAATTAAGTCAAAATGAGTTGAAATTTGTGTCATGATGCTTATAAACATACACTCATTCATTTACAACCTCCAAAACATGGGAAAACATGTACTTTGAGTAAAAGTAAATATTCTAAGCCCATGGGCCAACCTATCTTTCGCCCATGGGCTGAGATTTTTAATATCGTTTTAAGTTAGTCGAATTAAGTCAATATGAGTTGAATTTTGTTTCATGGTACTTATAAACATACACTCATTCATTTACAACCTTCAAAACATGGAAAAACATATATTTTGAGTAAAAGTCAATATTCTAGCCCATGGGCCAAAATGTTTTAAGCCCATGGGAAGAGATTTTTAATATCGCTCTAAATTAGTCGAATTAAGTCAAAATGAGTTGAAATTTGTTTCATGATGCTTACAAACATACACTCATTCATTTACAACCTCCAAAACATGAATTCTGATCGAATTAAACATTCTAAGCCCATGGGTCGCCCATGGGTTACTGTTCGCCCATGGGCCTGCCCATGGGCGAAGCGAGTTTAAATTTAAAGTTTTCGAAAGAATTTTTTTTCATTTTTTCATCCTTGGCATATATTCATAACCACTGCATGTTTAATTTGGTCAAATCCCTTGTCAGAAAGTGCCCACAGTGCAGAGAGTTTCTGGACTTTTGTGAGTCCAGAATTAAATTGTGACGTGTTATTAGTTATTTTTCAAAAGATTTGTTACCATCTCTATTGAAATTTTCCACCCTTCAAACTTTTAAGCATAGTCTCTTTTCTCTCAGTAACCAAGTAACAGGAGATTTCTCCCTGATACATAGAATTACCTCTCGGATTTGGTATATCGGTAATCCAACAAAAAATTACACCTGGACATTTTCACCAAACAAACTTTAAAGAAGTGACATTCATAACCGAAACGGCTTTGATCACTATGCTCTGCCAACTTACCTCTTGACTTGGGCATAATCCAGAAATAGTCTGGCATAGGTCTCATTTCTCTTGTTATCTGCAGAAGATATGGCCTGAAATGGAGAAATAAATATTTCAAATGAAAATGACAAATAAAAGAAACAAAGTCATGCTGCATTCAAATATAACTCACTGATGACTTGCATAAAATATTAATTTCAGATCAGGGACAAACGTGACCACAGTAGTGAGACAAGACAACAGAAAATCTCAATGGACAAGCTGTTTTCTCATAAACTCTTGTTATTGAATGAGCTCTGGTCTAGTTGGAAAAGCCCAAAGGTATGTACAACTACAAAGTCCCATTATTCCAGAAAGTCACACAAACGATCACTATAACGTGAGTGAGTTTAGTTTTATGCCGTTTTTAGCAAAACTCCAGCAATACCATGGCAGAGGACACCAGATATGGGCTTCACACATTGTACCCATGTGGGAAATGGAACCTGTATCTTCAGCGTGACGAGCGGTGGTGCCCCCTTGCCAAGTAAGACCTGTTTTATCAAGTCATAGATCTTGACTATAAATCAGCTCATCTTGACAGGGCGCCGCCATTCAGTGTGAAACAAATAATCTGATTAGTCATTTGGAATGACATAGAAGGGACATAACTCATAACAGCCAGTGATGGCATAATAAATCAAATTTGTCACGAGTGGAAACTTGACTTTCTGCCAGTTGACTTCCTTGCTTCAGGAAAGTGTGAACAACTATTTATTACTCACCCGTTGAAGATATCACTGTTAAATAATTTTACAATGTTATTACACATTGTGTAACAACATCACGTGGTGCCATACGTATGACGTAAAACTGGTTTACAGTTATGACGTCACAATGCTAATACCTCTGTCAGACTAGTATTAGGCCTTGCTTGACTCGCGGAAAGCTGAGTCATCACACTCGTTGAATTCTTTGGAAAGAAGTACTTTCTCGATATATTTTGGCTAATGTTAGGTGAGTAATATTCTAATAAATAAAATACTAAACTATGTCCCTTGTAATACCATATTTATGAAACTCGTGAAAATGATATTGGTATCTTACTCGCTTTCGCTCGTTAGATACCAAACCATTCACTCGTATCATAAATATGGTCTTACACGGGACATCATTTAGTACATGTATCAATGCAGATAGGGAAATGGTCCATGTGAACTTGAAATACCATCATCTTAGTTCTGTTACGGTGATTACCTTAAAGGCCCTGTCATATAAACAGGAGAGCAAATTATGTCTTGCAACAGCATCCTTCATGCCAACCTGTGACTTGACTAGATTGATATAGTCATACCAATCCTTTGGCTTGTTACCAGCATCTCCTATTCGGTTTATCCAACTGGTGTGATCTGAAGCAAACGAACCGAACATTTGATCCATAAGAAAGGATGATGGGTCCCTTAATATTAGCAAAGGGGCGCAAACCCAGAATTTGGGCGCTATAGAATATCTGGGATAATGATGGTACTTGGGATCATAATTTATTAATTTCAAAAATAACAAATATGTTTCATGATCTCATGGAGCTATTAACACTGAACTTCAGCATGTTCAGTAGTCTACACACATCTAGGGCTGACGAACTACAAGTACATCAACAGAACAAGAGTGAGTGAGTGAGTGAGTGAGTGAGTGAGTGAGTGAGTGAGTGAGTGAGTGAGTGAGTGAGTGAGTGAGTGAGTGAGTGAGTGAGTGTGTGAGTGAGTGAGTGAGTGAGTGAGTGAGTGAGGTTTGCGACTTTTAACAATATTCCAGCAACATCACAACTGGCTTCATACGCTGTACCCATGTAGAGAACTGAACCTAGGCCTTTGGTGTGACAAGCAAACACTACAACCATGAGGCTAACTGGTGATAACTGAGGTAATAATTTGGATCATCCATACTTACCAACCTAACACACCCAACAGAGCAATGAGTACATGTTAAACAATAACAATACACATCTGTTACTCACCTGTTATCGTAATACTGTCTGTGTCATTTTTTTCAGATTTGACTGGACATGAAGCGGTATGGGTCTTTAGCTTGTCAAACTGAGACTTGAAGGCAGTCCAGCTACTCATGGTTTAGCCTGCAAAAACAAAGTCAAATACATTCAGTCATTTGTAAACTTGCAGGGATGGAAATTTGCACCAGTCAAGGCCAAACTGACATACCTGTAGTGAGTAAATATTAGGGGTGGGTATTGCAAAGAATTTTCATATTACAATATATTGCGATGCCAAAGCATATATTGCGATATGTATTGCAAAATATTGCAAGAAGTTTTTAAAACAAAAAACTACTTATAATCGAGTTAATGCTTAATTTATAAAGCAAAAACACAACAAAATCACTATGCTTGATTAAGTTTTAATAAAAACTTTTAATCATGACAACATAAATATGTTAATAATATTTGGCACAAATGAAACAAGGAAAAGAACAATTTAACATCAACACAGTGGTTACTAGTTTGAACTAGTTTCTTTCTCAGGGCTCGCAAAAAAAACCTGAGATTTTAGACAGCAACTTGACCTGGTCTGGACATGATATTAGCGATCACTGGTCATCACTGGGGGTCGCCAGTGCATGACTTCCGGTATGAAAAACGGAAACCTCCGAAGATTTCCAAGTGTTACGAAGTTTTCCGAATGCATGTCAAAATACCCGTTTTCAATCAGTGTATAGCAATACGTATCGTTTTTATGTCTGAACCGGTAAATACTGGTAAACCGGTTATATTGCGCTGAATTAGTAAATACAATTCAACGATATGGATAACTTTATACAATAAACCACAAGTTGTTATCCACTAATTTGTATGTTTTCTTATCCCAAGTTCATTTCACTTATGATAAAAAATATCCAAGTGGCTGGTAGGCTTTTTAGTGGGTGTTCCTATATCTTACCACTGTTTCGGCTAGTGGATGTTTATAATAAATTTCTATCCCTGTAACCATGGTCATTCACAAATGCAAATGACATATATCATGATATATATAGGTTATCACGCGAGTGTCTTTTTGGATGGTTAATATCCTGCATTAGGAATAATCATTGTATTTAGCGAGCCTTGGTGAGTTGAATACAGTGTTTATTCCTAAAGCAGGATATTAACCATCCCAAAACACACGAGTGTGATAACCTATTTATCATACAATGTCATTTTTGCTTTATAATTTTACAAAATGCGATTTCAAATGCCACAAATCATGAAACTAAACTTCGTGAAATGTCTATGACGTCACAAATATGTGCGGAGTAATACACTGCGTCACAAGCCCGCTGACATAATTTTCTCCTGATCACTCCGCTGACTGCGTTAGGTCATCTAGTTCCCAGTAAGCTTTTATGCTAAAGCACGTATTGTTGTCAACAATAAAAAATAACAACAAACTCGCGTGGAACTTCAGAAACCTTCAATTAACCTTTTGAACAACAAATACATAAAAATGTTCGCGTGACATTGTGCACCTGGATTCCTATGCAGTTCTCTCGCTAACACTGACAGTCGATCGGGGAACTGATGTTGGTATCCTCGTAAGCCTATGAATTTCTATCTTTGCTTTGTAATCTACTCCATCTATCATAACCAGACATGAATTTTCTGGGATCAAAGCACTGACAGTACCGTAACCACGGCCATCAATCCGGACACGACCGCCTACCCTTGACACCATGTTTGTTTACACTGTGAAAGTAGTCCCTGAAATTTGCATATGACCTCTCTAATTTGCATCGATATCCGTATATGACCCCAACGGATACCGAAAATATCCGTTGACTTTATCCTGCCGAGAACACTATCCATTGTATGATAAATAGAGATTACTACATATCAGATATGGTTTATCTTACTGTAAAAGTCAGTTAAATATATTGAAATGAGTTGTTGCTACACACACTAAAATCACACCATTCTAGCATTGAATCAATACATGATGTTCTATTAATATCTCAGTGATACAATGACACATAACGCAACAGCTGCATAACATTTATACTTATCTGGTGCAATGTCATGCTTATGTTTCATTTGTAGACTGTTATCTGATTTTAATACCATACAACCTCATTTATTCATGTCAAAACTCAGGGATATGCATGTAAATTTTACTATCATTAAGTGAATAGAAGCACTCATGGTCGACAGACCGGTTTGTTACTGTAAACGGCTTTCGCTCTTCAATTATCCGCACAGCCACTGGTGCTCCACAGGGTTGTGTACTTTCTCCCATCATGTTTATAAATTACTGACTGACTGACTGAGTTTGGTTTTACGCCGCTTTCAGCAATATTCCAGCAATATCACGGCGGGGAACACCAGAAATGGGCTTCACTCATTGTACCCATGTGGGGAATCGAACCCGGGGTTTCGGCGTGACGAGCCAACGCTTTAACCACTAGACTACCCCACCGCCCCTGTTTATAAATTAGATCCTATACAAATTACTGTTGGGTATATACAATTACTGTCTTACTATTACCTTTGCTGATGAAGCAGCTCTAGCAAGTTTTAATAAAAAATTCAGAACTTGAATACAGAGATGATATTCCTGATTTTTCAACATGGTGTAACAATCATATTCTTTTCTTAAATGTTAACAAAACTAAAGAAATGATTATTGATCTCAGAAAACAGAAACAATCTTTGTCTTCAGTTCTGATCGATAACAAGGAACTTGAAACATGTTGATCTGTACAAGTATTTTGGTACATATATTGACTCAAAACTCAGTTGGTATAGTAAGACTAATCTTATCTATGACAGTGTGCAGCAGTAGGTATATTTCCTATGACACCTGAGGCATTTTAATGTTGCGAGACCATCATGTTTTACAATACATTTTGCCAGAGTATATAAAGCTTTTACACATGGTATGCGACCCTATCTGTTCGGAATAAACTCAAACTTCCCAAAATTGTGAACACAACATGTAAAATACTTGGAACGATACGATTCGATGCATATGCTATGCTATCTTTAGTTATTTTCTTTAAAAACAGTATATTTTGATAGCAGGTAACAGTGTAAATATTGACATAACCATCAATTTCTAGTGAAAATTATCAATTTTAAGGTCAACGATACATATCACGATACGAAAAAAGTATCAATGTATGTATCGTCTGATAAAGTATCACGATTATCAATACTACGAATACTATATATCGTCACAGCTCTATTGATTAATTACTTTAATCTTGCACAGCAGATTTGTCAAAAGGTAGTTTAACTTTATGTATGTACATTTACTAGCGCACACTGAATACACCTCCATTCTGTCGTAAAGTGCCTGTGTTAAAACAATGTCCTTCCTTCAAAGGATTAACTACTAGTACGTTGATTGATTGCTCATTGTTGTCTAACTAAATTACATTTTTTAAGAATGGTGGACATCATGCAAATAGTTGTCAGGTGTCTTATCTTGGGTGACCAAGCTAGACACCAATGTGAAAAACCTTAAAGTCACATGACCAGTTGAGAAACTATCACTAAATTACTGTCGGAAATAGATAAAAACCTGTTTTTAGGCTGTTACTCTGTATCCCTAAAATTTGCAAAATTGCAAATAGCATATGTCAAAATAACCCACATCAGCCTAACTGGGCATGTTTACTCGTAAAATCGGACAAAACTTAGAAAAAATATGAATAGCTGCTGAAAACAATAGATCAGACTATAGACGGCAATTATTAGGTCACTCAGCCAGGTATGGCAATTATTAGGTCACTCAGCCAGGTATGACGATGGACCCTCCACTCACTTGGCATGAAATGGACGTGCTGCCCACAGGCACAAGGGATCATCTCAAAGATATTTTATGCTTTTCATGTGTATCGAATATGTCTCTATTGATTATCTTATCTTATAGTTTATATAGCTGATATCTCTATCCCACAGCCCGACTCCAACCACCGTCTGCAACACCCGTCCTGGTTTTGCTTTTGAGACGACCCCTCCTACCTGTTTCTTTTTATAGTGATAGTGAGATCCATGGTAGCTACATCCTTAATAGTTTCAGTATTAAAGTTATTATTTTTTACGTCTGCTATCGTTTATAATGAAGCTAAGTCTAATTTCAAAATGGGCATTTAAAAAGTGTCATTTGTAATACAATATCATCACACACTAATTTGCATAAAGCCATGATGTGTTCGAAATCAGTCGCATTGGACTTGAAAAAAAAAACATTGCTCATTTCTGCACTAATCTCTCCTTTGTAAAATCCTTCTTTTACGTTTCCTATCTCCTTCCCACTGATACTGTACTTAGGCCGAATTTAGTTTAACAGATATTTAACACTTTCACATATTAACTACCTAAATTGTAGATATAACAGTGAAAAAACATTTTTTTCCTATTTCTGACAGTACTTTGGTTGTAACGTTATATACATATTTTGCATATTAGACACTTAAATGAAACATGACATGGAACAGGTTTCTTTGTCAGCTGCAGATGAATGTCATATCATCCCTTTATGTGGATATTGATAGATACATTCCTCAAACAAGGTAATAATAGCCTGATGCTATAACTTTAGTCGGTTTTAATTTTGATATTTGTATTTTGTTTTTATTCATTTGTTGTAGCATTCCGCAGAATCATTCTACTTCATATTTTAGCCATGAAGTTCTATGAGACAGACAACCTACACTAGGTCACACTTAGGGTGTGTGTGCAGTGTTCACCAGGGATTTACAGGATGCGAATTCCTGTGTCCCATACACATAAAAATTGACAATGGACGCAACAAGATTTGCAAAATTTGAGACCAAAAATGCCCGTAGAACTAGACAGTGGGAATGAATGTTCTATAATGTCAAATTTCATTATTGGTTCTCACAAGATCTTCAGTTATAGGCTTGGTATCAGTTTCAGGCTGAATATTTTTTGTGAATCATCAGGGATTTACAAATTCCTGCATCCTATATACATAAAAATTGACAATGGACACAACAAAATTTATTAGCGAGTCCACAGTGACTCAGAAAAAGTCCAAATACCTTTTTATAAGATTTCCAATCAAGTGAAAATAAGTTATCACTGAGTTTGCTACTAGCTGGGTTATGGTAT